AATACCTTTACTTCCCGTTACCTTATATTTCATAGTGATCACTTCAGTCAACTGTAGGTGACCGCCGGTCACTCTCTATCAACACTGCACCTTTATCATCTATCACACGGTGCTTGAAGGTGATCACCACTGTCACCCATTCATGACTGCTAGTCACTCTCGAGAACCACACTACCGTTACTTCCCATTACTCTGCGCTTGAATGTGATCACCTCAGTCAACTTATTGGTGTCTGTAGGTCACTCTCTGCAACTGTAACATCTTTACTACCGGTTACCTTATATATCATGGTGATCATTGCGGTCAACTGTAGGTGGCTGCTGGTCACTCTCTATAAACACCCTCCATTTACTTCTCATTGTGCTGTTCTTAGAGATTATCATCATATTCAACTATCAGTGACTGTCAATCACACTCTCCAACTCCGACATCTTTACTTCCTATGATCAAGAGTTCAAAGATTATCATCAGAGTTAACCATAGGTAACCGCAGGTAACCGGAAGAACCTGTTACTTTGAGGCCACACTCATGTTAATCTTGTTGTGAGTTACGTCAACATAACACAAAGCTTACTTTTGTTTATTGAGTGTAATAATGCATCACTCACCATATGGGAACACTTATCTGTGGAGCACATTAACATTTTAAATGAACATCTTATTACGCTGCAGCAAGCCACGCGACGATACACATTACTTTCGATTACTCTATCATCAGTACTGTGTCATTACTAGGCAATACCGTCAGATGTTTCTCTGAAACATTACTGCCACTAACCAGACGGTATCACTAAGATTCACTCTAAGTATATCACATCTCACTATTGTTAGAAGTAGCTACCACTCAGATGTACTAGATATACCATCCTTACTTTTGGGGAGAGTAAGTGATTACTATGTATCATTTCTGTTACTTTGCCCCAGTAATAAGCATGGGTATCTTGACTTTCATGGGCAGTGTATACCCAGAGAAAAGTAACTTCTATGACCACCATGGCTCGGGCAAAACACTGTGGAGTACTATGGAAACATCGCAGAAAGCGCAGAATGGGCTAAAACAATAATTTATTATCTGCTGAATGTCGTACGTTTCCCTAGAAGTGTTGAATTACTTCATTAACTCAAAAAGTTTGCCCTAGATTGGAGACACAATTGTACTCTATCGCTGCTACGTTGTCTGGAGTGGGGATCGAAAAATCATGGTTCTACCATTTCTTCTGTATTTGGCAGACATATGTAAGACTTTTTGGCGCGATACATGTATTACCAACAGACACTCATTATGTTCCTCAGCCGTTGGAGCACAGTCATGCAACGCTCTTCTGTCCATCAAGCCTGGACAGCTCATTTTTGTCAATACACTGGCGAAGTGGGCGTTGACCTTTTTCTCGTTGACACTGACCCTCAACGCCGTATGCACACTGCTCATATCATACCGTATCTGGAGTACATCTCGGGCTGTCGCTCACACGAGATCTGGACGAGGACGGTCACTTTGGAGAGTCATAGAAATAGTGAGATTTTGGTATATTTGCGCATTCAGGATATCTAATATTATGTGCTTCAGCTTGTCGAGAGCGCAGCCGTATACTCTTGCTCTCTGTTGGCCATGATCGGGACATATGTGGCAAATAGCAACGCCCAGTACATCACTCTCGATGCTTTACCTCCCATAATTGGGATTGTAGTACGTCTATCTGATTAATGAGCGTAACCAAGGGCTAATTCTCGCAATGATATAGTTTGAACTTATTATTGTCCGTATCGGTCTTGGTATCGCCTCCGGGGATGGTGGGCAGTCAGCAATCGCTACAAGTAATAGTGGTACAGGAGTCCAAGTTATGGGACCCGGAAGCTTCGCACTCCAGCCTTTAGCATTCAATTCACGGAGGACTGCAGAGGTTTCCATCACGCAGAACTCGATCCAGGATAGTGCATACAGTGATGGGTCGAAACATGAGAGGATCGCTTCCTCTTTGGATCCATCGAAGTCGTACAATATGAGTGTTTAGACTAATGTCATCCATTTTTCAGTCGCTTGTTACTATGTATTTACCCTTCGAGGATATTCTCCGCCCTAGACGTATCAAATATATTCATTTATGTCCTGATCAGTGCACAATGCAGCTCTCGTATGCGCTTGACAATATTCCACGCGCATAGCGCCACACAACTGCTCGCCGGGGATGCGGGTAAGTGGCTCTGCCTTCAAGGTTTCTCCCTCTGCTTTCTCGCTTAGCCCCTCAAAACTGATGTGAGCTGTCAAATGCGTGCCTACCCAACAAGACCCATCGACTTCGTCTTCGTGTACATTTTTCCTAGCTACTCCCAAATCGGTAGTGCATAATCCAGTTCTAATTCCAGAGAGACTACTTAGTCGGGCATGCGTTCGTAAGGTGGGACTAGGATTGGACTAGGAGCACTGCGGGTGGCCTTGTGGGCGTGTAGCAATTGGTATTATGCTGGACCAACGTCACTACTCATGGTCGAGAGATGAGAATAAGAACCTAACGTCGGTTTGTCACTACGACCATGATGTGTCATGATCCTGAATTCTTCCCCTACTGTATCAGAATGATGGAGCGAAAGGAAATCAATACTTCCGTAAATGGATAAGCATTCGCTACAGCTCTTCAGGTCCAAGTGTCCTGGGGCTGGAGAACCATAAGACGCCGTATCGGTACTTCGCCTTTGATGCCTATGAAAGGAGATCATATTCCATATCAATGCTGCGCTTAGATTGGTGGGCGGTGTTCAACGTTCAACTGTCATGGCGTACTGATGGAACGAAGGTTGAATGAAGGGCACGACTGGGCTGCCCACTGTGCGTAATCATATCAACATGACTATTGAGCGGCAGCTAATCACAGAAACAAATGTACTCCCGACAAGTCAATGATGGGAGGCAAGGTAGTACGAGTAACCCAAGTTCGTCATATCGTTTTCGGAGAGACTGATTAACGATGGCTTATTTGTGCATGAGGAATCCCAGGTTGTGCGGCGGACAGCCACTGGTGGATGCGGTGAAGTCGGACTACCTACTGCATCTGATACGGAAAATGCTCCAGTCCAGGTCCGAGGGTTTGTACATTCGGTCACTGCCTGTCCATTTTTGTACGCTTCTCTTCCCGGCCTGTGGGGTCCGAACATCATGATTTTAGGGCGCACCTGTTTCCTCCCAGGATAAGTCATCAGAAGACGTAACATCATGGGACTTCTCCGAATCCTCGGAGAAAAACCCTTGCCCGGTGGGTCACATCATACAGGTATTGACGCTCGCCCAACAGAACGATATAGGGACCCTGTGCCATTAGAAGTGTTCTCTAATCCGTCGACGCAGCCCGCCAATGTCTGGTGTACAGGTTCTGTCTTTCTATTTTACTCGTCTGTGCCCCGTAATCTTCCAACCCAAACCACCCGTATGAATCGCAGTTCCCAGCCCCTCAGGCCGTCCATAGCAAGACGTTCACCGCCGGGCCACTTGATGGTTCAATGACGGTCCCCGAACTGCTCGACCTTCAGCGTACCCAGAGTCCCAGACATCCCGTCTATGTTTATGACAACCCTGAAGGCGATATCGTTACGATATGCATGGATCAGTACGTCCGAACTGTCCACCAGGCCGCAAAACTTGTGCAGAAGCATGTTGGAAGTATCTGTGGCCCAGGACATGAAGGTCCGGTTGTCATTGGGTTATTTGCTGCCGTCAGTAAGTCCTCTGCGCCGCCAAAAACTGCGTGTAGCTGAAGATCTCTCAGACAGTATCTCGTATTGTATGATGATGAACGCCGTTGTGCGGGCCGGCCACATTCCATTCGCGATTTCTACTCGGAACGGTGCTACCAGTCTCGCTCATCTCTTCTCAGTCACGGACACTCTCCTGGTCTACACTTCTACAGACTCTATAGTTCAGAACCTCGTCGCCGATGCAAACGAGAAACTGTCTGGAATTAAAGAGAAGAATATTGCTTCTTTCTCCATTCCGATGTTTGGCGACTTTCAAGCCGACTTGGAAAATGTGTCCCTTCTCCCGCCCCTACTTCCACCGTCAATGTCGAGTATTGCAATAATACTTCACTCTTCTGGTAATGTAATCTGTTGTCTACCTATACTACGCTGCGATTGATTTTATCCGTAGGATCGACGTCCCCTCTTCTCAAACCAATCAGTCAGTACTTTGCTTTATACAATCTGTTTACCGCTTACTTTGTGGCTTCGGTCTTACTTCGTTAGGGCTGTCCCATAAAACCTACTTTCAGTGGAGCATCCTGCCTTGTTTCGGAGAAAGGGATTTATGTGGGGAAACCATGGCTTGCCAATCTATTCCTATTTTGTGAGTGGACTTCACGAGTGTTGTACTTGCTCTCCTCATGATATTCGTTTACCAGTCATGGCATGGGAGCGTGTCTGACTTGCTGGCCGGCATCGGTCGGCATTGTAGGGGCCTTCTTTCGCCCAACAGTTCCACCAATGGCGTACGTGACATCTCTGTCCAGTTTATATTCAATTTATTTCTCACAGTCTGTACCGTTCGTTACAGGCCAACTCCAGCTGCTGTCTTGTGAGTTCTTTATGTATTTTGTGCATACTTGTTGATCTCATCTCGATTTTAGGAAGGGAGTGATTGCGACGAAATGTACTGTCCTCTTTTGTGTACCGGTTTTCCTCGAGGTATGTTTTTCACTCCCTATCTTTATGATAACATGCGTAAAAGGTTGCTCTAGATGTGGAGTAAGGATGCACAAGGGATGGAAATGCTCAAGGCCATGAAGGTCGTCGTATTCGGAGGTGCATCCCTGGCCAAGGATGTTGGCGATTCCCTCATTGAGAAAAATGTCAACCTCACACAATTTTATGGAGCGTATGTCCCTTATATCCTCTCATTTCACGCGGATCGTTATAACTGGCTGATGAAACGCTGAATATGGTAGTATAGAGACTGGGTGTTTGACGCCGTATCTACCGCTAAATTCTCTAGGGCAGGATTGGGAATATTTTAGATTCAGCGAGCACTGCCGGCCAGTTCTGACCGAGCAAGAAGACCTGAACCTGGACCGCGTCTACGCTCTGACTCTCGTCGAGAATGCAACTCATACTCCATGCTTCATCAACACGGCTGTCGACGGGACGCCCGCATACACGCTCAGTGATCTCTTGCAGAGACATCCAGAAAACCCGTCCAGATGGAGGGTCTTTGGTAGAACTGACGATCTTGTCGTGCTCTCGAATGCCCTCAACGTTCGTGGCATTTCAGTTTTTTTTCCTGGCCCAGACTGATACATCTATAATGATGTCGGTAGATCAATCCTGTTCCGTATGGTAACTACTGCCCTTTATTATTCATCGTTTGCAGTGTTGACCCTTTTTTTTATTTTTAACATCTAGAATCTCTGTTGCTCAAGCATCCTAGTATCCATTTCGCCGTCCTATTTGGTCGGGGACGCACTCGTCCGGGCATATTGGTGCAGCTCAAGCCTGAATTCCAGTTCAGTCCCACGGACTTTAGACGATTGGAGGAGTTCCGCGAGTCCTTCTGGTATATCATCGTCCGCCTAAAATATTCATAGGATACCCTTATGACTGTTGAACTATCTTATAGGGCCACAGTCGAGAAGGCCAATACGCAAGTACAATCACATTCCCGGGTTACTCGCGACGTAAGTCTATCATGGTATATTGGTCTTACGCGCGACAGCCTACTCGTTTTTTCGGATCATTTAGATGATCCTGGTTGCCTCTCCTGAGAAACCATTCGATTTAACTGCCAAAATGCAGCCGAGGAGAAACGTCGTGCTCGAAACGTATCAGATGGAGATTGATTCCGCGTATGGGACCTTGGAAGACCACTCTGTGGTGGAAGTGACTGCTTAAGGGTATCAAGGCGTTGTGTTTCTATGCGTCTTGATGTTGTCTTGATAATATTCTCTGGTGTACTACTTACTCGATGTTACTACGGGCAATGAAAATGTACAGTCTCGATGACCGGCCGTTGGGTCCCAGTAGCGCTTGCAAACGTTGGATCGAAATCATGTTCCGATCTAGAGGCTGAGATACATATCCGCGGACTTCCCTCCTCACAGCCTTCCAACGTGCACCCATGGTTCTATGAAGTAGGCTCGTTTCCTGCTCGTGAACTTTATCCCTCACATGCAACATCCAACTTCCTCGCTGTCGGTCGGAAGAAACCTCGCTCCGGCCGCTGGTAGAGACACACGCACACTCTATGCGACCTGGGACCTGGCGTGTGCACAGGCGCCATCTAACGTATAAAAAGAAGCTGCTGCTCGCTCCTCGGCCATCGCTTCTCCTTAGATCAGAATCGTAGCTATCGTGTGAGTACCATGAAAAACATCCTTACACGAGCTAGGTACAAATTGACTTTACCGGACAGGACAGATCTCTGCTCAGACGCTACTAGCGTCACGACTAGTAGTCGTATGTTCTCTCGTACGTTTCTAGTTTGTCCCAGTGATGATACTGAATACTCGATGACTACAGATAATTTATGAGTTCCGAACGTCAATCGCGGATCGCTGACATGTGGTCTTTGATAGAAAAATACAGTACTGGTTTTCCTACCCACTGCGGTGCCACCGACATATCGACCGGCGACAACATATCACCTCTCGATACTATCCTAGTGGTAGGTACACGCGGTGGGCTGGGATCGAACATACTCGCCCTCCTATTGGAATCGCGAGCTGTTCGGCGAGTCTACTCCTTGAACCGAGTACGCCTAGATGGCAAAACTAGGCAAGAGAGACAAGCGGACGAGTTCGCGTTGCAAGGCTTGAATGCTTTGCTGGCGTTCTCTTCAAAGCTGACGCTTCTGGTGGGAGATACGGCACATCCGACTTTTGGCTTAGACAGCGCCGTCTTCGAAGAGGTGGGTACCATGATCATTTTTAATATACACATCTAATAAGAACGGGGCTCATTAGGTCTCAGCCACTGTAACAGCCGTCGTCGTCAATGGATGGCTTGTAGAGTTTACACCCCCGCTGTCTGCTTTTGAGCCTCTGATTGCAGGAGTTCGCAACCTCATCGACATTTGTCTAAGATCGCCGCGCGTACTCCAGCCACATCTAATTTTCTGTTCGTCACTCACCATTCTGCAAGGTAAAGCTATTTCAATTTCTGCGAGCGTACATATCTCCTGCCATAATAGATAGAGCTGACGTGCTCGATTTCAGGTCTGACACGCCCCGCATCTCGTCCGGAGATATTTCTTCCAGATCCGAGTTCGCTTGTGGAGCAGGGATACGCAGAGTCGAAGTGGGTGGTCGAAACGCTCATCGAAACAGCCCTTCGTGAAACTCCTCTGCATGCCACAGTGGCCCGTATCGGGCAGGTTTGTGGTAGTCCCAATGGCTTTTGGAAAACGGGAGAATGGTTCCCCATGATGCTGAAGTCCAGTCAATTCATGGGGTATCTGCCTGAAGACTGGGGGAAGTGTCGACTTCGTCGCCGGACACCTTGCTTGAAATATATAATTTGTCTCGTGTACGATTTCTCATCAATAAAGTGAAGCATTGTATTTGTACCAACTTAAATCTGAGTCATCGCTGATACTACTGTTGAGGCTAAGGAGACTGTGGACAGGTCAATAGATGTTATCTGCAGCCTGAAAACCGAGAGGTTCCATGAGCTTCAAATCGGCTACTTGAGAGCTCGTAAACTTCAATTTTTATTTCATAGTTCGCTTCAAACCCTCGGTAAGTGCCAGACGCAGGCCAAATGGAGTCGATCAGCCAATCACGGCTGGCCTGCACTTTCCCCTTCGAACTGAAATTTTAGTTAAAATTCTCACTTTTACAGTTCGCTTGCGTCGCCTTGCAACTCAAAAGTCCGCTTTTCAGGCTGCAGATAACGTCTAATGACCGTGCTTCGTTACATGCTAGTGTGCATCTCCGTTGCATATGGGTCACACGCAGATCACATTAATTCTTAGCCCAATCAATCTGTATGGGAAACTATCGTAAAACTGTTGAGGATTGACTTTTTTGTCAATTTGGCATTTCGACGACTCGGACAAGCTCTTTTTGAGGAGACTGTGTAGAGTTGACTCTCGATAAGTTGAATCGGTAGAACAAGCAATAATGGTAGTGTGCTGCCCCAAGTGCAATAATATGTTCCATGCATGGTGCGAATCAGAATAAAAAACATTCCCGACGCGATCTTTGGAACAGAAACGCAGAGGACAAGGATGTGCGGTCAACGTGATAGGCGGCAAAGGCCGGGAGCTCCGGGGAACGCCGGTTGATGCTGTCTTGTTCTTCCCACGATTTGTGGATGTCCAGAGACCTTGCAAGCAAGGTGACGATAGGGTATGGCAACACCTTTTGGGTAGACTCCCCGCGCACTTCTGATGATCTGAAATTAAGGATATAACCTGGATCCCAGCGCGCTTGGCGGCTATATCTGTCATAGAACTCCTCGGTTCGAAGGTCCCCATTGCTCATATCGCCCATCCCAACCCCGTTTCTGGGACACTCGTCATGGCCAGCATCGCTAAGGATCTTTCGCTGTCACTGATACCTCGCTTGGACTGGCTTCACCGACTCGAAACAAGCATCACCTCACCCCAGACGAACGACGAACGGAGGAAGAACCCTGCCAGTCGTCTTCTGCCAATGATGCATCATATCATGTCTACACCGAAACGCGATGGTTTCGCTGCGTTCGAGATGCCGGTCGTCTCTACAGAGATGGCTATCCTAGCTTCCGCTACCTTGAGGAACGCACCCCCGATATGTAAGGAGGATGTATTACTGTGGTTAGAATGTTGGCAGAACGCGAAGTTCTTGGACAGACCTGTGAATGCGCGCTTGTAACCAAACCCTTATAGAGGTAGATGAGAACCTGTATTGGATGGAATGAATCATATGCCCCAATATCACCTTTGGCATGCATCCTCCAAATGCTGCATCAAATTATTTAACCTCAACCAAGTCTTCCTGAAAGTTCGAGGCTTCAACGGTTACCATATGAAGAAACGCGGTGAACGTCATACTTCGATAGCAATCTGGCAAACTCGCGATACAGCGTCATTCCATATAGGTCGCGTTCGGTGGTGTCTGATCTCGGGTACAGGACGATGAAACCGGTCAACATGTGGTCACCGCAAGCTTCAAAGTAGAGTTCCCGTCGCTTCCGCCCTGATGTCGTCAGCACTAGTCGAGATGAGACGCCATTCACAATGGTCACGAACCTTTCACAATACAACGCTATGAAACGCCGGATTTCTCTTCATACTCCCTCTTCAGAATTCCCATCCAGATCGTATCCATAGCTTTTCCCTCGAACCAAAGGGCTTCGCGCTTAACTCCCTCCACGGCGAATCCGCTAAAGAAAAAGTCAGTATCTCGTCATATCACACGCCACAGTTAGAACGCACATGCGTTTATAGAGTTCAATCGCTCGCTCATTGAACCCAAACACACACAAAGATACCCTCCGCAACGCCATGCCTTTGAACCCGTAGCCAACAATCCATTCCATTACCTCCGTCCCAAGACCCCGACCCCACCATTTCTTCCCCAAGCAAATCCCAACCTCCCCATCCGCATCCTTCGGGATGTCGATCTTCAACATCGCCATACCCACCAACCCGCCGCTCTCCTTATCCTCGACTATCACGAAGAGTGTGCGAGATATCCAGTATTCTATGATTTTCCTAGCTTCAGGGACGCCGGGAACGATCCAGCTGGGTTGAATAGGGGCTAAGACGTCGTAGTCGGACAGCATCAGGACGAGATCATCCATGTCGCTCGGTCTCCATCCGCGAAGAATCAAGCGTTTTGTTTCGAACATGATGACTCTCTGTCGGGGTCTGAGATGTTGACGGGGCAAAACCGGTCCCCTAATAGTTTTCTGTATCCGAGTCAGAAGCCAGTGATGTCCGGTTCCGGAAGTGACTCAAGGTGCCACAGAAACCTTTGTGGCGACAAGACATAAATTCGACGACAGCTTTGCAACGCGATGGGCACGATGAATCGACTGGCGCAACTTACGATAAGTATCGTGTCAACGCAACACAGTTCAAAAGAACACACATGCACTACTATCACACTATTTGTGTGGAGTCGCCTCGTATTCCACCAACCAGGAGGTTAGAACGACTGAAGTAGGACAGTAACGGAGGTGAACCGAAGGGATGGAATAATGCGAAGTAGTTGCGTATGTCAATGTATACCACGGGGTGGCCGAGATCGCGTCGAAACTTACGTCGTGGCAGCTTGCAGACCCAAGACTCGGAAAATAAACACTCTAAGAGAAACGTCAGACAAATTCGCACAAATACAAAGACATCACAAATTTAGTAATGCGTACCGTGCTACGAGCATTCACAGCAATCTTCAGACTGCGAACAAGAAGTTAGGATTGATCAGCAGAACAGACCTCAAAGGCCGTATGACTTACAATGGACTGAATATGCGGATTTCCTGGACAGATCCCCTCAAGTATCAAGTGAAATGTATGTGCGGAGTCCAGGCAAGGATGTTCATCTCCATGAAGTGCGAGCTCGCGTTAGTGTCCGCTTCGTTGGGCGATACCCCTTGATCGTCGGGGATGACTGCCCTGGTCGACAACGGCGGCGTGCTCGTCGCCCATTCCGGCGGATGCTCGAACTTCTTCGGGCGAGATTGGATCTCGTCCCAGTCTATGATGATAGCTGGAGCATCGCGTGGAAGACCAAGATCGATACGACGGTTGAAAGACTCGCACATCAGCTTCGTGAGCACAGCGAGGACGGCCGCCCGTAACGAGTCAGAGTCAAAGGGGTCGGGCAAGACAGCAATGGACCAGTCGGGGTGAGTGCAGCAGAAGTACTCGAGTTCGCGACGGAATGCGGTCGTCCATTGGAGCACAAAGAAGGTGCATATTCGGTAGAAGCATGCCGCAGGTGTGTCCTTCGCTGGTGTGCGCGATGTGATGAGGCGCGAGAGGAAAGAGGATGATGGAGGTCGGGTGCGAGAATGACGCCATGTGTTAGGGCGATGGAAGGGGTACAATGCCTTGAACACATCGCGATTTGCGAGAATGTCTAGCACTGTGGGCGGACTCAGCGGCTCAGTAGGCATTACCATGTCCGAGTCTGTGGGGTACGGGATGGTTGGGTGGGTCCTGAGAATTGGAGCTGCCGAGGGTTGTAGCCTTCGACTGCGGATAGTCTTTATGATAGACAGGCTAGAAGATGAAGGTCATGGATAATAACAAGAGCTCTTCCAGGCAGATTGTCCAGACCGCTCATTGCGAGACGCGTTGAGTCGCGAAAACAAATTGACTAAGTTGCCGGGAAGCGCCGTGCCAGCTTTGAAACTCCGCAAACGCCCACCGAATTTCCCCCTTGTCACCGAGCCTCACCGGCCTCACCGGTCACTGGTGAACGTTTGGGCTGCGAGCGCTACGATTCAGTCTCGCAAACAGCATGCCAAACAAAGCCCACGGATGACTTGCAGCAGCTTCGTTCTGTTTCAAGTTCCAATTGCGTTCCCACATCCCCCTCTAATCCCCCTCCAATCCCTCCCTGCTGAACCTGGTTGACCACCTGTAGGATGTTTTTCGACTTCAGTTCCATCTCGCTTGCCACAACATCAGCAGCCGTCATCTCTGCATTCTTCGTGCACAAGCTTTATAGTCGTCTAACTCACATCCGAAGCTTGTCCTTTCTCCCTGGGCCTGACACTGCGAGCTATTTATGGGGAGATTCCGTAGACCTGAAGAAGGCGCGGATTGGCACGCGTTTCCCTGAGTGGCGAAAACAATATGGTCCAACATATCTCATCCGAGAACCCCTCATGGTAAGGGTACTCTTTAGGAGATCTGAGGACTCATCCCATTGTTCACTGTTTAGGAGCCCGTCCTCGTTCTGGGCGACCCCAAAGGCGCGTTGTATGTTCTTAACGATGCGTCAAAGTATCATAGGCCAGACATAGACAAGCAAGTACTCGACATGTGGGTTCGTATACGTTCACGTCTCTCGTCTCTTGCCGATGTGGTTGCTCACGAACGAAATCAGTTTGGTAGGAGCTTGCTGTCATCTGAAGGTGAGCATGGCTTCGTTGACTCGCATACCAACCTTGACTGAGAAGAAGAAACTTCCAGGTGATGATCATGCACGAAGACGCAAACGTTTGGCCCCAGCTTTGACGTCAGTTAAATATTTCTGCAGTGATTTTCCGCCTGACATGATTACCACAGGCCGAGCTCTGTCAAAGAAATATCTTCTATTTTCTTCGACCTAAGTCATCGTGTAAGCGATTCTTCGTCTCCATGGCGAGCTAGAGCTCATTACCTTGTAGCTCTCGGAGAACTGGGAAGACAAGTTGAGCATTGAGAACGAGGCGCTCATAGACGTGTCTAAGCAGTTGCACACTTTCTCGTGAGTTGTTTTATCTTGTGTGCCTACTCCCACTCTCGGCGGATGCAGAATGATTGGGCAGTAATCGGGACATGGCTCCTGCTCGGGCGGTATACATAAGTCGGGCGGGTATTCAATGGCAGTACTAGTCCGGATTCCTGCCCCGGGACCTCTGGGCTGGACTTACCAACGGCTGCGCGCTCATACAATTCACTTGGTTTCAATAGGCTCGACGCCATCTCCATGACCATGTTCGCGTATAATCTCAGCGCATCAACCGGCACTATCCCTGAGCTGCTGAGCAACATCTCGAACGGGCCATCTCAAGAAGATACGATGGGCAGTCGATTCGCCGCTTTATTAATCAGTAGCTTTCCCAGTCTGCTTGCTATACCAAATCCGATGAAAACTTGGGCGACCAAACTACGGACTGAACTCGGTGCGATTGCCAAGGATGTGTGGGATAACGGTGTGGACGGAGTAGAAGTTGGGATGAATGCAAAGGTCCTCGAGGTATTGCGTGGGTATCTCCCAAGTTGAACATGGTCGTTGTTAATTGCTAACGTCTCCCCAAAAATCAAGGCCAATCGAGCAAGAACGGAGAGACCATGACTAGGGATGAGGCCGTAGCAGAGGTACGTTGTACATGTTCCTGTTGAAATTGCCATATAAACCTCACGGTCACGTTTAGATAATTGGCATCCTCTTTGCTGGATCAGAGACCGTTGCAAATGTCATGGGCGTGAGTTATCAGCGTTTATAATCGTTATTTCAGAGAGCAAAAATGACTCCGTCATCTAAGGAACTTCTCTACGAGCTCGCTCACAAGCCTGAGATACAATCCAAGCTGCGCGCCGAACTCATCGCCTTCGAACAAAAGCACGGCGGTCCTCCTACTTATAATGACATTGTGGGTTCTGGCAAGTCAGGTCTAGAGTATCTTGAAGCAGTCACGCGAGAGACAATGAGATGCAAAGCTGTTCTCATGGATATATCACGTCAGGTAACATCCTTACGATAAAAATGGCTTCATTGTGCATGCAGTCCCTGATCAACAGCTGTTTTATCAATACCACGGCAGACCGTAGAGGACGACATCATACCTCTAAGCACACCACTTCCCGGTTCTGGACAGACGAGCATCGAAGTTCCTGCCGGCACCACGATATCCATTCCCATAAGAGAGGGCCTCAATATTGAGCCAAGTATTTGGGGAGATAACGCCCGAGACTTTGTACCTGAACGTTGGTTAGAGGAAGGCGTTGGAGAGAGAGGCGTTGGAATAGGCGGAGTCCTGACTTTTGGTGACGGGTGAGACCTTTAAGTTCTTCGTAAAGCTCGAAAAATTAAGGCTAACATTTATTTAGTGCGAAAGTCTGCATTGGACGTAACTTCGGTACGTACCTTTCGTGAATATCTAGCCGTTTGTTTTACTGACATGACTTCCTGTCATTTAGCGCTGGCGGAATTCAAGGTGTGTCACCGCCGCATGTACTCAATCCTTAGGAATGCTTTCTAAACTCATCTCATAATCGTCCCTTTCCTAGATCCTCGTCTCGGTTTTACTATGCCGATTCGAGTTTTCTCCACCTAAGGACGCTATCCCTGTTGACTTCTACCACCTAGGAGGGAATACCGTGAAACCGAAATTGAGAGGCAGGGAGAGCGAAGGTGTTCAGCTACCCCTGATCATCAGGCGCATTTAATTCTACAACATTACATTTATTTATCCCAGAATCGACAATACCTCCCTCACCACCGCTAATCTGATCCTCACTTCCTTCAACTTATAAGTTACTCTGCGACTTTGATCACGATTTTACCCGAGTGCTGTCCCGAGCCAAGATACTCAATCGCCTTCACAGTATCCTCAAACTTGAACACCTTGTGAATATGTGGCCTCAGTTCCTTCGTCTCCACGAACTTGAGTAACTCCTCAAATTGTTGCTTTGACCCGACGTAGATGCCCCTGGCGATATGTCACGTACACCACAGGAAACTGTCAGCGTCATTTCACCATGGCGATATGTGTTTTTTTGGGAGAGGAAGGGGAGGTGAACAAGAGGAGAAGGATGCGTACCTAACAATAGCGCCCTTCGGGATCGCAAGCATCGGAATATCAGGTGTTTCCTTAGGTTGTCCACCAAGAAAACCGATACAGTTGACGCTTCCGCCATTCGCGACAGAGTTCATAGATTTATGTATCTCGTTGGTACCGACGTTGTCGATGACATGGTGCGCGCCATCACCGTCTGTGAGCTAGGTATAAGCCCACACCAAGCGCAAACGAGAACGGAAAGGACGAAGGCGTGAGTGTGTGATGGACGAAAGTAGTGGTAGACAAAATTACAGACCTCGAGGACGACTTTGTCCCAATCAGGGTGTGTTTTGTAATTGATGGTATGTGTACCACCGAGCTTCTTTGCGAGCTGCTGGGGCACCATCCGATGAGATCCTTTGGGAACATACTCCAGCCACGAACCAACTCACTTCTAACTTCTCATCGGAGCTCGACGTGATGATCGTCTGCCCAATTGAAAACAACACAAATTATCAATGTGCCACTACCCCTTCAACAGATTTCGAGTCTCCGGAGGGGAAGGGAAAACTAACTCACCCTCGCACCTGCCGCATTCGCCAAAATAAGCGCCATAATTGACACCCCGCCAGTCCCTTGACACAACACCGTCTGCCCCGGTACAAGCCTGGTCGCACCAAACAATGCATTCCAAGCTGTGACACCTGCGCAGGGCCAACACGCCGCCTCTTCGTAGCTAAGATGCGTCGGGATGCGAACGAGGCCAGTCTCGGGGAAGACGCGATATTGGGTGAGGACGCCGTCGATGTGACCACCTAGAACTTGGCCTAAGGTAGACGGAAGGAAGGAAGGAATGATTGCAAATGTACAGAGCGTGGACAGAGGTGGTTCCACAAGTATCAGATAACACCCTATGTACGAAAGTGTGCGAAAGACAAAATGAAAAGAGAGACGTACGATGTCGAGGAGCAGGACCATAGATATGCCCTTGATCAAAAACCGCACTGACCCGCTCCCCAATCTTCCACCCCGTGACTCCGTCACCCACTCTCACGACCTCCCCTGCCACATCGCTCCCCAACACAAGATCCTCCTTCAGTGTTGCGGGGTATCTACCGCTAACCATAGCGTGGTCCCGAAAGTTAAGGGAGACAGCATGGATGCGGACGAGTACTTCGTGCGCTATGGGTGTGGGAACAGGGATGAGAGTGGTGCGGTAGATGGATTGGAGGCCGCCCCCAGCACGGGGGAGGATGAAGGAGGTGTTATCGGTTGGGGTAGACATGGGTTTTGACGGCTGAGGTTTGATAATTGGATGTCTTGAGTATCCTGGGGGGTCAAGTAGTGCAAGATATGTGGGTTAGTCGATGCGAATGGAGGCAAGAAATATTGGTAACGGACGTGAGAGCAGATGGTAAGATATCGCGCAAAGCCCCTATTATGCGTAGTACTTCAATACCCTCACGTCATCGAAGAACCCGACGGAACCGAGTTCCGAAAGGATTATTCATCCGATTCACAAAAATGGCAGTTGAAAAAGAGGACGTCGGGGCGGCCTGCTCTGAACGGAAAACCTCGGCAAAAAGGTTGAAGCCGAAGCTCCAGAAACAAAGGGGAAAAGGCAGCCTAGGTTTTTGGCATTGCTGGCTCGCCAGGCTCGTCGCGAGCTCAGTTGATATCTGGGCTTCTGGTCGTCTGGTTCATTGATGCAGGCTGTGTGCATGTTCATGCTGAATCACATATTTGTTCCATAGTGCAGCCTCGGCAGATCAGAGAAACGAGGCGCACGCATTACAATCTAAGGAAATAAATATAAAACAACTATACTCAGGTCAAATGGACATGAACCAATATACAACAGAAAGACGCAAAAAAAAAGGCTCACATAACCACATAGGCACACGAGCAAGCGGGTTTTATCGGTGGCTGCTGAAGAAGGACGAAGAACGCGAAAAGGAGACAAACGAGAAGGAGAAGGAGAAGACGAAGAAGTCGGAAAAGGTCGGGTCTGCCTGCCTTGGCCTTGCTCGAATGTCCTTTCGTCAACGTTCGTGCCTTCGTAGACGGTCGTTATACCAGAGTTCTCCGAGTCGCGAACGGATGTCGTAGCCTGGAAAAATGATGGGTTAACAATGTCCAATTGGATAGTCCACCTTCTCGCTCTTCCGTCGTCATGCTCCCGCGCGTGGGCCCGATGATATGATGGATACTCATCCAGACAAACCACACTGAGAAGCCGAAGGACAGAAAGGATAGTTGTAGCAAAAGCAGAAGCGCGACAAAGTGAGACGATATAACGGAACAAAGGCTGAAAGATAATCGAGCTGCCGGCGATGTCCGGTCAACTCTACACTGTGGCGAGAGTACATATGTAGATGTGGCGAGGTCTGAAGAAAAAACAAACCAAACAAACAGGAAATGCAAATAATCGGTACCAGGTATATGCGAGACCAGGTCACCGGCCGAGAGTTAGGGTGAAAACTACAGCAGAATGTCTGAGAGTGGTCTGAGAACCGCAGACACTAAAGTACTCGAAGCCGTCTCATGGTGGAGAATCGTTCTGTGTGTCCAAAAGAGGTAGCGTACGTAGTTCGATGTGGGGGGTTGGCGCAGACGAACTTGAAGAAGTGTACCCTAAGATCAGTCTATTGGTTTCGGACACGATGAATAGGTAAGACGGGGCGAAAGACGAAATAGAGACAAAAGGAGAACAACAAGAGAGCACATACAGTCTTGTGGAAGACCGACCAACCCCGCCCTCAACCTCCTCCCGCCCACACACCACACCTTCCCGTCCGGGATATACTCTCATACCTTCAATTCCTCCACACGTATCCTTTCACACCCGCCTACTCCTCTTGAGCAAGACCCTCGTCGTGTTATTGAATGGCGTAGTCGTCGAGATCATGCGTCGTACTCGGACTGAGAGTCTGACTCGAAATCAGACTCAGGATCTGTTTCCGGGTCATCTTCGACAAGTATACTGACAAAAATACCATTGATGCAACATCAGGCTTCTATAGCAAATGAATAGAGGTCAAAAACACTCACAATCGAAGGAAATCGTCTTCGATATCGTCCATTGATGCCAGCTCTTCGGGAGATGGATCTCGTGAGTACAGGTAGATATTCAAACTTTCGATGCCAGCAGCAATACATTTCCGGTCAGGTGAAAGGACTAAATTCCCATCCAGTATTATCCTCTCTCGATCGAACCATCGGCGAATCTCCCCACCAATACGAATGCACAGTGTGTTTTCTCCAAACCAAACAAGATCGCCGAAAGATCTTGCTTGTCGTGAAGTCGGCACCCATTCTCCACTGTCCAGATCCCAAATGCTGAGGCTATTATTGCCGATCGCTGCGATGAATCTATCATCGGCGGAGAAGTGGAGGTCAAAAGTAAAATGTCCTGGGCGGTTTAACAAGCGAATACGACGCTTCGAGTCTACATCCCATATCAAGATGTGGAAGTCATCGTCGCTGAAGGCGACTCTGCTGCTATCAGATGAAAACGCCACAGAGCAGACCGGTGTTTTATGCTCTTCGGACTCGAGCAGCTGTTTGCCTGTCTGTACATCCCAAATGCGGAAAGAACAATCGAGAGAGCCAGAGACAATACGTCGGTCATCTAGGGAGAATGCAACACAGAAAACCGCGCCAGTGTGGCCTTTCAGTGGACCAAGAACGGTCTCTCCGGTCTCGACGTTCCACACTCTGAGTGTGCAATCTCTTGAACCAGAAGCGAGGAGTTTCCCATTGTGGGAGAATGCAAGGCCGAATACGAGATCGGTATGTCCACGGAACGCTTTCTGCAGATGCCAGTCACCGGCAGGCGACCAGTCTTTGAACCTATCGCGAGGAGTGGCAACGGCGGTGGTGGATGAGGTAGAGCTGCTATCGGTGGAGGACGAAATGTGAGATACGATGGTATGTGGCGGGTCGTTTTGGTCCGCGCACGAGTTGACGGCCACTTCAGGCAATGGAGGTGCAGTATATGTAGAAGGTTGCACGCAGGAGGGCTGAGTTGGAGGAGGAGGATGGATACCGAGCGAATGAGCCATGGACGAGGAAATGGCGTTGTACGCATGTCCGTTCGTGAGGTCTGGGAATGTTTGATGGAGCTGAAATGTTTCGACGGTTCCTTCAAGTCGAAGTCCGTCAACACAGGCCCATTCTCCCAATAATTGTATAAGATATAAAGACATACGAGGTGTAGTTGCATAATTTGACGGCCACTGAAGGAGAACACGAGAGAAAAATTCAGAGAAAACTCCGATAAAGAACGACATGCCGCGTTCGTGTGACTTACATAGCTCGGGTAGTTACAAGATGTATCAACATCCATTCCGATGGGCTGCAAGGATGCGTCGTGAAACGGAGTCTGCTGGAGCGCATACGATGTTGGCTGGGGTGCCCTGGCGAGGCGATAACGGCTCGGGATAGTACTCCATCGGGCGCCGGTGGTTCTGGACATCTAGAGTCAATCAGCATGGCTCCCGCGTCGTCTCGTGGAGCTGGCCCAGGTTGAGGGCTACGAGGAAAAAGGAAGAGAGATAAGCATCCATCGCCACATCGAAACAAGGAACATACTGAGGTGGGATGAGGGTGGACTCTCCAAGATTGGGGCCCCCTTGCTGGATTCCAAGATAAGAATCGACAAATTCGCCTCGTCGTTCGTACTCCCAGTGCGCTTCTGGTTCATTGTGTTGGTCTTGCATAGTGTTGGCTTCTGTCGCCGTAGACATGGAGAACGACGGACTGTCCCATGTAGTCGTCAGAGTGGTGCTAAATTTGAGGAGCGTCGGAAACAACGTACATAGACCGGACGATGTGCGGCAAGGCAAAAACACTGTATGCGTTCGTCTCCGTCGAGGCCGAGGCCGAGGGTTTCTGGGTCGGCTCCTGACGACTCGCCATGGCAGTATAATGAGTTTTCCAACGCTCATCTTCAAGCAAAACGGTCACGGCCTTGTTGTATTCCGCGAGCATCTCCGATTTCGGAATCATGCCGTCCTTGAACTGCTGGTGAAGATCTACCCACTTCGCTTTCAATTCCGGATGATGAGCCTTCGCCATATCGCGGGCGTTCTTAGATCGAATTTGCTTGGTGCGCTTCGGAGCGAGACGTTTGTGTAAGTTCTGAGGTTTGTTCTCGACGTGCTTTCTGAGAACGCTCTCCTGGTGGTTCCCGATCCACCGCCGAATTCTCTAGATGCAGATTATCGTCAGTATTTATGAGAGCTGGATGGTGGGCATCACGTACCCGGGGATTCTCGTTCCATCTCTGCATCATTTCCTCTCCAGTTTCGACCACTCCACCGACCTTGCTACGACGAGGGCGGCAAGGGAACGGCGACGATAGATTTTTGCCACTGGGCCTGCTTTCCGTCCTTCTTGGATTGCCCGGCATCGTCGATGACGCGCATCAGAAGCCAGTCTTCCTCATCCGGTGTCCATCGAAAATCAGTCTGCGGTTCATGTTAGCGCGTTCTCGAAAATCATTCAAACACAACGCGCCTTGTTAGAAGCCATTCAGTATCGAATATTCGACTGTCAAACACGGACTGAGTTATGGTAGGATGGTTGACAGGTGGATTGCGGTGGGGACGAGGGAAGAATCGACACCATTTGTGCGCTATATAAGAGTTCGACTCATCACCCATATATAGCGCAGACGCCCATTCGCATACAGCACAGCAGCGGTAGTGATGTTGCAGGTGGTATCAACGTTCTCGTCCGATATGGACCAGTCACAAGGCAGTCGCTGGCAGTCGACAGTGCTAGTAAATCCCACGCGCCTTCAGTCGGGGACCCTAGTAAGTCTCATGCCTTGGCTTAACATCACAGAAACGGAGCACTGTGGGTAAATTGTATGTCGGAGTCGTCAGACTGCAACAAACGACTGTGCTGATGATGAAGTTCTAGGGTCGTATATACCTACAGGCAAACACACAAAAATTAGACATAGACAGAGTACTCACCTACATATACATATGCGAGTCGACGGCAAGTTTGCGACAAGTCGGTGCGACATCTGAGCGCCACACCGCCGAAGAATGGAATCGTGTGGCGTGACGTAAAGTCCACAATATCCTACAATATCCCAGAATTTCACCCTTCTGTGCTCTATCGTCGTCTTTGTTCACCTTGTTTGTATTTCTTCGCGCTGGTCTATTCGGCTTCTGTACGATTGTGCATATACCACTCTGCTTATACAGTATGCTGAATTATTGCTGATTTACAACCTGACATTTGCTAATAACTTACAATGACGGCAGGCGCAAACTACAACTTGATATCAGCTTCACCTCCGAGTCTGAAGAGAAATCGGCGACGGTAGGACAACAGAGAGAAAGATGTCCTCAAGCCTACTACCTGTTCTCTCTCCCTCCGACATCCAACAAGCCGCCAACGTACGATCCCGCCGCCTTCCCTTCCCTTCCCTCCCCTCCCCTCGCAACATCCAAGCCTAATAGTCATCTCTTTCCCCATACACGCTCTCAATAAATACAGTTAATCCAACAACTATACATCCCCTCACCGACACATCCGCTCTCCCCAGATGACCAGCGGCGGCTCAATAACGAGTTGTTCGAGCTGCAGAAGCGATGGGAGGCGTGGGGCTTGGTCGTTCCATTCTTGATGGAGAGCGAGGACGGGAACGTGCAGTTCTTCGGGGCGCATACGGCGCAGGTTAAGATTGCTAGGGATTGGTGCGTTTATTCTCTACTTTTTTTCGTTTATCTTCTTTGTCTTCTTCGTCCTCTTTGTGTCGCGCTTGCACATTTGCGTTGCATTGTGGCGCGATGTGGCGAATGAGGCTGATGTTCTCTTTGCTTGTGGGGATATAGGGACTCGTTCCCGAAGGATCGGACGTTGGAGTTGAAGGAGCTTTTGTTGGATTTGACGGGGAAGTGTATCGTGAGCGGGAGGAGTAAGGTTATCTTGAGAAAACTATTTGTCGCGGTGAGTGTCTTTGTACATTTGAGTCACTCAAGTTTCACTTTCCACTGTTTTGTCCCGTCCCCCTATTGTTGCGATTTCATCTGTCCTCTTCTCTCTCCATTTTTGTGCTGTTTGACTGTCCCAACGGTATTGAGACGATCTGTCTCAGTGAAATCTGTCTGTGTGGCGTATCAGGCGCTGTACGAGGAAGTCTGCGGACATGCGTTAGCATCACCCCAGGCATAGACCTGCTATCCACCATCTGAATCCTCTCGATGTGGGCCTGGTCGCGACAAATGACCTCTAGCCACTTAGTGGCAAGAATTGTATGTCGTCGACAGGCAAAAACACAGGATGACGGGATCGGTGGCGGACGATCCAACAGGTTCCGGGGTGTTCATTATTTCGGACGATCTGAAATTCTAATCCTCCCCTTGAGTCCAAGGGTTGCGGTCGTGCTGAAATGCAATATTACTGTCTCATCACCTCCTGTATTGAAGTCAGTCAGTCCGGTAACTCTGGTTTTGAGCGAGCCAGCATCATGAACGGTCTGTGCCACTGTACTGACATCATTCGTCGTGACCATGTCCACACCGAGGCCAATCGGCTGGCTGGCGACCGGTTGATGCCTGTGGTGCATTGGACTGTGAACACCATTCACAAGCTATCTCTATTTGACCTTCTCGTGCTCTCGCAAAGCCGCACGCAACTTATTTTCCAGCCGTGTCAACCGCACCCTCCACCTCCTTCCTTCCTCCCATGTCCACGTACGAATACCCACTAACGCCAATCTCCCCACATCCAGATAACCTCCCTCGCACTAAAACTCGTCCCCTCATCCTCACCGTCCTCATCATCAGCATGGCCAGACTGGGTCCTTTCCTCCGTAACCTCTCTTTCCGGTCGAGGTGCCCCGCCGGAACATATCCTCGATTTTCTGGAGATTGTCGCGCAGGAGATGAGTGGGGCGGAGATGTTGGTTGGACATAGGTGCGTTTTTGGGGTCCCTCTCATACTATTCTTCTCTTACTTCATCGCCGTGGTTTGTTGATATTCACGCTTGTGATACGTACATGTTCACGACGATTCACAGAGCGAAAATCCAACAAACCCTGCAAGACGCCGTCCCGCTCGTCACACAAGCCATTGGCTCGACACTCCAGCTCGCGATCTCGGACTTTCAGACGCGACAATCACAATCAAGGGGCTTTGAGCAGGATATGGATCTGGGCACGGGGACTAGAAATGTGGGTGTGGAGAGGCAGTTCCAGGCTGCGATGCGCTGTTTTGAGGCTTGGGTCGTTATTTTGCCTGCTAGGTATGTTTCATCATTGAGATAGACTTGCTAATCTATATCTTCTTCTCTCACTCCTCCTTCATTCCTCTTCCCTCCTTCCTTTCGTTATCCCACTAATTCTTCACTTCCCCTTACAAACACCACCCTCGTACTAACCCCCACTCCTCTCCACCGCAATCGCAGCGACCTAACCCCCCTCCTCCCACCCCTCTTCACACTCCTGCACCCGCCCTCCCCTCCCCACTTCATCCCAAGCACCGAAGCGCTCCTCTCCGTCCTCTCTTCCTCCATCTTTGCCGACGGGGCCGCGCCGCGTACGTTGACGGAACCGCTGCTGGTGTGGATGGAGCGGTGGGGACCTAAGATCGTCGAGCGGATGCAGAGGATGCTTGCTAGTGGGAGTGAAGGGCAGAGGGAAGGGGAGGCAGAAAGTGGGATGGAGGAGGATGAGGAGGAGGTGGGAGAGGTGGCGAGTGCGTTGTGTCGGTTGTTGGTGGGATTGGGAGATCAGAGTACTGAGTATCTGGCTGAGAATATTGTGGAGAGACGGGTGGTCGAGCCTGCGTTCGATCCGCTTGCTATCTCCATCTCTCCTTCCCTTTCCCTTCCCACCTTAACTCCTAACCTCCCTTCTACCTCGTCGTCGAAGTCGCCTCCACCTACGACGCCCCAAAAATCCAAAGCCACCCTCGTGCAAACCTTCCTTCATCTCCTCCTATCTTTCACAGCTACACCGGGCTACTACGGCATAGACGAAGAAGAAAGCGAGAGTACGCTCGGGTTCTGGTATCTCTTCCAGGAGGCGCTCTGGAGCGTCGAGGTGCCGGTGCCGTCCTCCGAGGAAGAGTTGCTCAAACGCGAGTTTGGGAAGAGTTCGGGTGGATTCGGGAGTGGGTACGGGTATCAAGGTGAAGGTGGAGAGGGAAGAGGAGGAGGAACGGAGGAGGAAGAGAGGGAGAGGGAGATGTTGGGCGTGAGTAGGGCTGTTTATGCGAGACTTGTGGGTGTGTTGAGGGAGAAGGTGAGGTGGCCGAGGGGAGGGGCTGGGTGGGCAAAAGGTGCGTTCCTCTGACACTTTTTTGTGACGAGATGGCTCTTCCCCTTTTCCGCACTAGCGTTTTCTCGGGTGTTTGTGCATTTTTGAGTCGATGTATGCGTTCTGATTTCTTCGTGCTGATCTCATCTCATCATTGGTGCTTGATGCTTCGTGTTGGCGGCTTGTACGATGCGCTTGTAGACCAGGTGGACAGGTTCCAAGTGTAAGTGGATTGTCCTGTCGTTTTGGTAGGGAGACTGACTTTAGTCGTTGTGATAGGTATCGAAGGGATGTGGGCGATACGTTGATCAATGCGTGCGTCCCTCCTCTCACCCTTTCCCCCCGTCCTCTGCATCATCTCGCACACGTTACTTGTGTGTAAATTCGCGGTTGTATGCTAATGTTCTGTGTTCAGGTACTATATCCTCCGGAAAGATATGGTCGCGTACTACGTGAACGATATAGTCGAGCGGCTGTCGAAACCGCCTGAGATCGGAATGTGGGAGGTACGCTTCGCTTCCCCTCGCTTCCCCTCGCATCCTTGTCTTTGTCTGTCCTTCTGATTCCCCTGAACTAACTATTCTCGGATTTGCCGTGTACATACCCAACTACCCACCTCAAACACACACAGGAAATCGAAGCCTCCCTTCATTGTCTCATGTCCATCGAGGAGGCCGTCCCGAAGGACGAGCGCGAGCCTTCGCTAGAACGTCTTTTTGGACCAGAGGTGCTGGGGAGGTTGCCGACGAGTGGACATACGAGGTTGAGGAGGACTACGTTGGGACTTATTGGTTCGTCTTTTTTACAGTACAAGTCGTACTCGCCGTGCCTCTTTCGCGTTGTACTCACCATGACCTCGTGAACCTAACTGATTCTGATGCGTACGATAGGCTCATACGCACAATGGTTCACCGTCCTCCCGCCGTCCTCACCTCTCCTGATGACCGTAATCTCCTACGTCGTCTCTGCTCTATCTTCCCCACCACCACAACCTTCCTCACCCACCGCATCCACATCCGCATCCACACCCATCTCCTCACGAACCACCATCACCAACCCAACCACAACCACGAATCGAACCACCGCCCTCTCCCTCCTCTCACACCAAGCCTACAACCCGCTCTCCCTCCAAGCCGCCAACGCCCTCCGCGATCTCTGCGACGCGAACCGCACCGCGCTCGCGCCGCACATCGCCGCGTTCGGGGAACTGCATGCGCAGCTGGCTGGAGGTGTAGGGACGGGGTTGCCGGAGACGGAGAGGGCGAAGGTGTTGCAGAGTATTGCGAGTGTGGTGCAGGCGTTGCCGCCGGAGGAGGGGGTTGGAAGCGTCGAGGTACGTTCTTTTTTTTGATGTCTTTCGTGAATGGGATGCCGGATGGGATGGTGGAGGGTTGGGCGAATTCTGGGGATTGAATTTGTTTTTTCTGCGGAATTGTAGGCGATCGTGAGCCCGGTGGTGGCGAAGCTGTTCGAAGCCTTGAGATCTTCGTCACAGGTGCGAATTATTCCCCCGTAACACATAACAGGCGTCGTACCAAGGTTGAACACCCTTGCCCTCCCTTTTAGCTTCCTGAAGAATCCCGCCTCCTCGCCATCTCTCAACTGCAGGCCCTCACCGGCGTCTCCAAGGGCCTCACACGGACCACGGACATCATCGCACTCGAAGACGACTCTGCCGTCGCGGCCGAGTCGCACAGGATGCAGTCGGCCAGGGACGATCCGAGAATGGTCAAGGTCAGGGAGGGAATGGTAGAGGCGATCAGGGCCGTGGTCGATCTTTGGTGCGAGGATGCCGCGATGAGCGATGTGAGTTCGAGTCTCGTCCGTTGTTCCGGTTCCACCGCATCGCACTAATCGTGTGATATTGTGTGGTGGATGTGAATGTGCCAGGCGATAAGCGACCTCTTCAAATCAATAACCGCCCTCCCCTCCGACGCGACCCTGATCTCCCTCCCACCAGCCCCCCTCCTCGAACTCGTCTGCAGAGCTGCCCAACGCCACCTCACAGCCGTGTGGCTTTCCCTGGCAAACATGCTCATCGTCCAGCTCGACGCGCCGCCGCCGTTCTCGATCAGCTCGCGGGCGCAGGCGCTGAAGGTGCAGCCGAGTGCGGAGGTGCTGGGGATGGTGAGGGATGTGGTGAGGTTGTTGGTTGAGGTTACGGTGGGGATGTTTGGGTTGGGACAGATTGGGGGGATGGAAGATGTGAGTTTTACCTTTTTTCTTCTTTTGTTTTAGGTGATTGTTTGGAGTGTTTGTGAGAGGTGGAACTGATTTGAGACTATAGAATCCAGATATCGTGCAGGCCTTCTTTGGGTGTATGGAGAAGGTAAGCATCCCACGCTTTATGTATTTTGTCATCGGTGGCTTCGCTAACGGCAACTGTTGTCATTCTACATCAGGCCGCACATCACTTCGTAGCGGCGTTCTACCAGCTACCAGGAGAAGTGTTCGATGCACTCGTCCGATGCGCCATCACATCCCTCGCGCTACAAGAACGATACTCGCTGGTCGCCGCTTCTGGCTTCCTCGTACGTACCGCCCTCTCCTTTACACATGCTTGAAGCCTCTCCCTAAACTCACCAATCTCGCTCACCCCTACAACGCCACGTCCAGACCACACTCATCAACCGCACCCACGCCTCCGACACTCTCGGCGATGCCCGCTCCATCCTCGTCCAAACACACGGCCCATCCATCATGCGCGCCATTCTTGCCGGTTTCGCGGGCGTGGCGCCTAGGAGTGCGACGCAGAACTTGATTGAGCTATTGGGGACGTTGGTCACGAAGTATCCGGCGGAGAGTAGGGTATGGATGGGCGAGGTGCTTTTTGCGGTGAGTCTCATATCCTTTATGAGCGTAAGGATGGATATTGATGTGTTATTATTGAATTGTAGAATGACTTTGTGCAGTCCAGAGCGGGGCCGGACGCGAAGGAGAAGTTTGTCAAGGCTGTATTTAGGTACGCCTTTCGTCCTTGTCATTGTCTCTCTAGATTCGACTCGCCACTGACTAATCACGGTCGTCTGCGTCATTCAGTTCTCGATCTGTGAAGCGCACGAGAGAAGCAGCACAGCAGTTCTCGCTGGTGGCGAGGGGATTGGAGGGGTCGAGTTTTGGGTATGCGACTGTGACGATGTGATTTTCTGCATGACGTACCAGTGACTGTCCTTTCCCTTGCGACTTTGGCATAAGTCTCGCGAGGGGAGGGTGTCAGTCGTGAGAATATATTAGAGAATTCGAACAACAATGGGCAGAGACAAAAATCACAGAATTAGAGAACGACAACGTGTATGAACGTAAAAAGGTGGATATGATAGATTCGAAGATGGCCTCACATGGAGAAGGGAATGGAAGTGGCAGGATTCACGGAAGAGACTACCTCTCTAACCGGGACCTCGAAGTAGAACGGAGGCATGCCCGGACGCCTCAACTCGACAACCACCCCCTCCGGAAGACTGAAACGCTCCTCTCCCGCCGGAATGTCGCTCTTTGCCATCCTGCCCGCCTCTTCCCACGACATGACATGGCCAAGGAAAGGAACCTGGCCGGGGCGGAAGTGCGGGTAGAATACGAGCCCGTCGGGCATGTTAAGAGCTGTTTTGGAACGGAGGTCGAAGAGGTCGAACATGTACTGGCCTCGCAGTGCGAGTCCGCCATCGAAGAATCTTATAGCGAGTGACTCCTGTGGATGGGCGGCGGGGACCTGTGTGATCCTGACGCCTGCTTCACCTGGGCGGGGTTTGGCCTGCAGTACGAAACATTGCATCCTTATGTGAGAATTACTTACTATTGGGAAAGAGAACATACGCCGTAGACTGCGACTTTTCCTCCTCCCAGCTCTACCATTCCGTTCATTCTCCGGTCGTAATCGGCTCGGCGGGCAGCAAGCTCGGACTCCTGAAGCTTGTCAGATAAGTACTTAGTTTGACGGCAACTTAAAATACGGCACAGAACTAGCCTGGCCGGAGGAGTATACTCCATCCATTTTATGTAGATTTTAGAGTGGGCACTGGTTATCGAACTTCGTAAGGACAAGCAAGGAAAGAATCTAACAAAAGAAAGACACGGTCATTTCAATTTCCGCTTTGTCCCGCTGTTTGGCTTTGATTGGCCAATGGCCATTGCCGACGCGTCAACGCGGCATGGAGGCGCCGCCACCTTGTTCAAACCTTGTTCTTTCTTCCCGCCACTTGTCTTTCTCTGAGTGGGGTATCCGACTCTCGCCAGACATATGCCACCTCACCATCATCAGCACGCCAAAGTCAAACAGTCTGTACGAGATGCCACATTCGGCGAGCCCCGTGTCACTGACATCGACTCAGACGTGCGTTCTGTGCTCGAAGAGCTTGTTAAACTAGGTGCTCCGCAGATAACACTCGATGAATTGAAGCAATTGCGCAGGGATTCTCCCTCTCTCGTTCATAATCTCGCCTTGATAGCTGAGCGCCTCAGAGGGCGTGATGGATCTAAAAATGTCAGGGCACGGATCGAAAGGTGGGGGACAATAACTCCATAGTGCACAGGGCATCGACGCTCCGCGCCACCGATATTGTTTACCGAGATACTGACATACTCATCCTGGTCGATGAAGAGTTCGTCACGCGAAGACACAAAGACACCTCCTTGCAGAAATAGATCCGACGTGGTCCGAGTACAACAAAGCCGACTATCATCTGATGGCTGCGAGAAGGACTGCAGCTGATCAACAAAAGGCACTGGATGAGCAACTCGTTGACCTCCTTGCTTCTCGTACGTGACCTATTAACGGCCATTGATTTGAGATATCTTATTTATGTGCTGCGTTTTTAGAGCGAGAACTAGATGACTTGAAATCTGAGCTGGGGCGACGACGGCGTGTGCTTCTTCTGCTTGAGACACTGAAAAAGAAGGAGGAGATTCGGATAACAAGAATGAAGGAGATTGACCTCTTGTTACAGAGACTAAGGTAGAGAACTCCTCCCCAGGGATCTTTCAGGTTACTTTTACTGATTCGGATACTATCTTGTCTTTGTAGGGGAGCACAGTCGACCGAGGTAAGTCAAATTCGCCTAGACCACCTCCCACTCGTACGACATGCGTCTAATGGGGCCATTCACACCAGAATGCGGTGTACCATCCGGTTGATTCTCTCGCTTCTTCCAACCCAGCTTCCTCACAAGGCAAATCTCAGCCCATTTCCTTGACTCGGGACACTCTTACAGTATGTAGCGACGCATCCACTCTTCCATGACCTTAGTCTAATTCGATATCCTGTCAAGCAATTACATATCTACCACAGTACCCACAGTCGCATCGCTCGCTCGCTCGTCGCGTACGATGCCCGCTCAGTACGAGACCAACAACGCCGTCTCCAGGAGTCGATAGCGAACGCTCTTCACGTCACAGTCGACGATGACCGAGCGGTTGAGTGGTGGTACGTACTAAGTTCTGATTCCTGCCGACAGGATTACAATTTATGCTGACCCGCCCCGTCAGTGCCAAATTATCAGCCGAGGCTGAGCGTCGGGCCTACAAAAAATTGGTGTACCGCCGACCATCCCCATCAATAGTCATGCAACACAACCCGAAGCAACCGGAATCGACGCATAGTATCCAAAGTTCGGTAGAGGATATAATAGCTCGTCTCGTACGTGGCACCTTTACACAACAATGGTCTACTCATATGAGAGTACCAATTGACTTCTAAATGCTATACAGCATCAGAAGGAGCAAAACCTTCAGCATCTCGCGAACGGGGCCACAGCTTTAGGACAAGGCTGTCTGTCTCATATAGATATGGTACGTGGCCCAGTCACTCACAGCCTTTGACGCTCAAACTTCTGAATAATCGTCATGTCTACCGCAGATCTCGAAGGCTATTCATCATACTGCTCCGGAACTGCACTCCTCCCTTCAAACGCAAGCTCGAGTCTCTTCAAACGATGGGATGATTATGCCCGATCCCACGAATGCTGCCAGTACTTCAACTCAGGCCTACGTCAACCGACTCGTCGAAGACATCCTTCGCTCGCAGGGCCTCCTTCGAAGCGCTTCATCCACAAAGAGAGAAAGCAAAGGAGAGACCGTCGCGAAATTGGAGACGGTCTTGGGTGTCAAGGGACGACAACAGATAGTCAGCAGGGTAGAGGAGATGTTGGAACGAGGTGAGCCTCGCTTTCTTGTATCCTCCTTCGCGGATAGACGACGTTGACCGTTATCTGATTCTCACAGACCACCGCACACGAACCTTCGCGTCAAGGATTACGCTTCCTCTCCCTTCCTCTACTAGTGTTGACCCATCAGACCGCCATCAATTAATCAGTATGCTACCTTCCTTCCCATCACATCCTTAACATCCTTCCCCCGCTCTCCTTTATCCTGAACCTGACTCCGATCACATTAGACGCAACGAACGACTCGGTCCTTACAGCTCAAACAACAGCCACCGACCTTCTGCATGCGAAGCTCAAGCAAGCCGAAGACGTCGAGGGCATGGTGAAAGAGGTGAGGAGGCTCAGGCGGGATGTAAGAGCTTTTGTTGATTCGATTTGAGTGTCGCTCTGTTGGTACCCGTTCTATGAAACGTTGGGATGGAATGTGTATGCCATTCCATATTAACCAATCCATATTTATAATACAGATGGAACAACAGTTCAGAGACGTCTACAGTGCCCGTCCTCCCCATATTCTGCAGAAAGCCAGGTCTACAATACATTGCTCTCTACCTTCCCTGCTTCTACGATCGAACGCTTGTTCAAAACCGGACTATCATACCACGCAGAACCCTCCCACTGAACAGACCAAGCTGGCTTTGCGTCCACAAGACTAGTTGGCCTCTCGCTCGTGCATGGAGGTTCGATGGGCTCTTCAAGTTCGGAGTTGTCCTGGTGGAGTATTCGCTCGTACGTTTCCCGATGCACCGGGTCGATAATGGCGAAGACCGTATCGGAGCAGCCTAATGTGCATATTGCGTAGCGAGGGTGGCCAGTTTCCGTTGCTGGCAGAGTTGTCGCTGAGGGTTTTACAGGCGAGGCCCTCCCGCCTGGCTGAAACACGGTGTCCCGAACGGCGGACGTTGGAGGTATAGACACTGGTGATTCGGTGGCGTTCCTTGCTTTGTCGGTGACGAGTGACTGAGGACTTGAGAGGTCCATAACGATGGTGATATACGGACGCTTGGCCTTATCCTCCGTCGAAGTCGAACCCGTCGGCGAATCAGCCTTCCAGAGGGAAGGGAAAAACCCAAAGTCTTCGACTGAGATCTGGCGACTTTCACTCGTCTTCCGAGGCTTGACCGTCCAGAAAATGGCCGACATCGCATATTCTCCAATCTTCACATCCCAGAGCAAAACCGGAGCGACGAGGTCGACGAATGGGTCGTCGGAACCACAGCTGCAGATAAATGCAAAGCCTCGGATGAACGCCGCCGCCATCCTCTCTGTGTTCAGCTCATGCCCGTCCTTGACGCGAACCCAGTGCGTGATGCGAAGTCGAGCGTGCTGGAATGCCTCTCGGAAGGGAGTCCCGCTTTGGATATTGTCAGGGAAGGATTCGGTGATTTCACGATGTTCTTTGTAGAGCTCTTCCACGAAGTCGATGACTCCACAACCGGAAGCCAAGGTCGAATCGTTGGTCTTCTTGCATCGTAGAGTTGCCCGATCGTAGGCCTCAGTGATCAGAGCTCGAGCTACGAGCCTAGTCCGCTCACCGGCATCCAAAATGCCTGACCCCATATATTCGTCCAGAACATTGATCAGAACCGCACTTTCCGACTGTCTCCAATCGTTCAGTTCTCGAGTTGCAGCCTATGCCGGTATGATGAAAACCAGCTTCGCGTGGGTAAGGGCTGTATAGGACACACCTCAGCAACGATGGGCTCGCTCGCAAAACCCGATAAGAACCAAAGTTGATGTTCCGGGTATGAATCGATCGTTCGCATGTGGTGCATGACCAATTCACCCTGGGTTTCAAGAGCAAGCTGACTATTCTGGCGGCTGTATTCGAGGCAGAGCCGAACATCGACGACGGCCAGTCGTGCGGTCCTTGGACGATATCCCGGCAGGCCCAGTAACATTGAACGGGCGAGATTGATTACTCTAGTAGACATATCGTTCAGTTCCTGGCCTGTTCGACCGTGTAGCATCGCCCAAAAGCTGAAGAGAGGACGTTAGTGGCGATGGACGCGTAAGCGCCGAACAAAGCTCACATCGCGCGGCCAAACTGTGCCATGAATTCGATTCTCGAAATCTCTTGTAGGGTGTGCTCCCTCGGTGCGATGGGAAGACGGGGAGAACAATCGAACGGCATCTTGAGAATTGGTGCATGAAGTGATACGTGCGGAACCCAACGAGCTGAACTAAACAGTCGACCACCCGAAGGCTGGGCTTTCCGAGAGACGTGGGGCACACTGGACAAAAACAGGATGAAGAACGGCGTATGGACGTAGATGTTCAAGACGGAGCAGAGGACGTCGTAAAGAGACTTTGGAGGACTGGAATCGATTTGTCTTCGAGATAGTTCCTGAGATTCGTCAAAGGAGATGATAAAATCGACGGAGCGTTTCGGCTTCGTGTCGTCGCGAACTGATCTGAGTGACTCGAGTAGGTTATCCAGATGATCTGTTGTGCGGTAGTAAGTAAGGTCGAGTTGCAGCTGGTTTGGGATGTGCTTGTCAGAATAAACGTTTTAGATAATCAGTCAAGCAACTTATCACGCACCTCATCTGCTGACTTGTTTTCCTCCTGAAGGACGTGAGGAAGGATTTACAACACAAAAATATTTCATCAGCGTCAAGTCGAAGACTATTCCAATGAAGCGAACGGGCACCTGTCTTCGAATACAGTCTTCGCCAGACGACTCAGTCCTTTTGGCTGCCTATGTAAATATCGCCCTTTCGATGAGCGCAAGCATAATTAAGACATCACATGGAACGACCCAAACCTCTTCCACTGCCTCACGCGACAGGGATTCTTCTTCGAGCTATTGGTGGCGTTCCATGATTCAGACAGTTTGAGCCTATCTCATAAAAGACGGAAGGCCTACCTTCATATCTCTCACCACTCTCTCATAAAACTCATCACGTCCACTGGCACACTCAGCCCGCAGATACATCCTCCACCGATGCGTTAGCTCGGTATAGGTCATCTCAGGCTTCTCTGCGACTATCCTATCGATTTCGCTCTTCGTGGCAGCGAAGAGCGAACCAAAGAACGTGTGATATCGTATTTGCTGGCGAGTCGGCTCCTCGAAGGTCTGGAGGAGCACGTCGCGGATCGATTTATCGGGCGGGGGATAATGGGGGCCTATGACAAAGAGAAGACAACACGGTCAACTTCTGCATTGCGTTCATGGTGAGCAATGGAATAAGCATTACCGATTTCATCGTAACGGTCGTTCTGCAGATTCACAGGGATAGTAAACACGAGCTCCGCCATCTCGTCCACCATCCTCGACTTACCACTCCCGTGACTCTGAATGACCCGAAGCATATGGGAGCAGGCAGCTGTCGATTTCGGCATCCCGCAGATTGTCTCGTAGAGCTGCTTGTGGCTATCGCCCTGATAGGGAGCCGTCCAGGCTGAGTGGATGATCAATCAGGACACAAACCAGAAGACATGCTTGTATGAAGTATCATGCCCTTACCCGCTAATATGCAATCGTAAGATTCTTTTATATACTTAGGAACACAAGAAGTAGATCTTTAAAGGATTTACTCATTAGCATCGCCGTGTCTCGTGAACGCAACGCTGTTTCGCTCGGTGTTGGTCTACGCAAGAAAGCTGGTGTCCGTATATTATGAGCAAATTTATATCAAGTTACCATGAGAAGAATTGAAGGTGAACTATGAAATAATAGTAACCTGCATGTCTAACCCTCGAGAAGTCACCGTCCATCCAACACTCTTGTATGCACCTCTTGATCGTCGGCTCAGCAGCGTATGCTTCCTGTAGAATATCCGGCCGGTCCGAATTTTCATACCAACTGCGGTGTATCGAGACAGATTCAATGATTATACGCAGGACGATCTGTAGTTGGTCGTCCGAGAGTTGATGCGAAGGCGTCTTCGTCCAAGGCTCCCCGAGGCAGTCTGCCTGTATTTCTTCGAGCAACGACTCATTCGCTTGTCGTTCGAGACGCGGTCGTTTAATTGGAATTTGTGCGAGCTTTGAGCGGACTTCGGTACGAGCGATAGGAGAAAGCGACATGGACATGGTGATGAACGGAGAAGAGGAACGATAGTCCAGCACGAGAATGAGCGAAATCTTCTGTTCAAGTTCATCCGAGTCGTCTGTCGAGGTCTTTTCCCACGCAAACGACCGCGTCTAGACAAATCCGCTCTCAAATCATCTCTCAAAGTCCCAAGCGAAAGGCCACACCCATACTATCAAGTCCTATACTTACTACGACTCACAACTTAAATACGCCCGCCCTCTGAATACTTCGCTGACCACCCTCCCACCACGGTCCACCATCCATCCCCCAGGAATCAGTAGACACGCACACGCCCACACACGATTTCGCATATTCGCATTTCCTTTTTCGTCCGTTTGTATGTATGTATGTCTGTAGAAACTGTAGGTACGTACACGTAACGACGACGATCTCGACGGCCCACCACGACGGGCCACCAACACGGAATGGCGACCACGATGTACAATGACGGAGGGCGATCAGTAATATCTCAGTGTCGAATTCAGACTCGAAGAGAAACTGAGGAGAATAGAAGAGGTAGAGAGACGGGAGACAGATAAAGAAAAGAAAAGAAAGAAGAAGAAGAAAAAGACAAGCGATGAAAACAAGCGGAACGAGAGTGTAAAAGTCATGAGAGAGTAAGAGGCAGAAACCCGACGACGACGACGATGACGATGACAAACAACGAGAACGAGTGGACTGGGAAAAGTGATCCAAAGCCGAGGCGCTTAGTTGCCCTTGGCCTTAGCAGCCATCTATACGAACGAACAGACGATCAGCACGCCGTCCTCATCCACCCTCATCGAGTCTAAGTATAAGAAGAGGGACGTACCAAGTTCAACGCGCTCCCCGCCTTAAACCACTCGATCTGTCCCTCATTGAACGAATGCGCAAGCTCGATCTTCTCCGTACTCCCATCCTCCCTCTTCAACACCATCGTCAAATTCCGTCCAGGCGCGAAACTCTCCAAGCCCTCAATCGTCACCTTATCGCTCGGCCTCACTTTCTCATAATCATCAGGGTTCGCGAAAGTGAGCGCGAGCATGCCCTGCTTCTTCAAGTTCGTCTCGTGGATACGCGCGAACGAGCGGACGATGATGGCGAGACCGCCGAGGAAGCGAGGTTCGAGTGCGGCGTGCTCACGGGAGGAACCTTCACCGTAGTTGTGGTCACCGATGACGACCCATTTGATGCCTTGGTCACGGTATTGGGCAGCGACTTGCGGGACGCCTCCGTATTCGCCGGTGAACTGGTTCTTGATCTTGTTCGCCTCGCCGTTCTCCTCGTTGATAGCACCGATGAGACAGTTTTCTGAACGACAATTGGTCAAACGATCAGTCATCGTACGAAGAAGACGATAATAGAGGAAAGAGGAGACGTACGGGAGATGTTCTGGAGATGACCACGGTACTTCAACCAGGGCCCACCAGCCGAGATATGATCAGTGGTGCACTTCCCCTTCACCTTGATCAGAATCGGCAAATCCGTGGGCGTCTTCCCGTCCCATGGCGCGAAAGGCGAAAGGAGCTGGAGACGGTCAGACTTGGGGTCAACGGCGACTTGGACTGAAGCACGGTCGGCGGGAGGGGGTTGGAAGGTGTTTTCTCCGGGGTCGTAGCCCTTAGGGGGAAGCTCGTAGCCGGATGGGTCGGAGAACTTGAATTCCTTGCCGTCGGTTCCCTTGAGGGAGTCGGTGAGAGGGTTGAAGGTCAGGTCGCCGGCGAAGGCGAAGGCGGTGACGATGTCCGGGGAGGCGACGAAGGCGTGCGTGGCGGGGTTAGCGTCGTTACGGCCAGTGAAGTTACGGTTGTACGAAGTGATGACTATCGAGCACGAAACATAAGTCAAGAGCCAAACGCGATAACACGTGAAAGAGACGCACTAGAGTTAGCCTCTCCCTTCTTCACGTCCCTCCTGTCCCATTGACCGATACAAGGACCGCAAGCGTTGGCGAGGACAAGACCGCCGGTCTCCTCAAAGGCGGCGATCTGACCGTCACGTTCGATGGTGGCACGAACCTGCTCGGAACCGGGGGTGATAGTGAACTTGGACTTGGTCTCGAGACCGTGCGAGGCGGCCTCACGGGCGATCGAAGCGGAGCGGGACATGTCTTCGTAGGATGAGTTGGTGCACGAACCGATGAGGGCAACCTTGAGCTCCTGGGGCCAGTTGTTCTTGATGACTTCCTCCTTGAACTTGGAGATGGGGGTAGCCAAGTCGGGAGTGAAAGGACCGTTGATGTGGGGCTCGAGCTCGGAGAGGTTCTAAGGGACGAACAGTAAGTTAGTCAATACGACTTACGAGCGATGCAGGGGACGGGACGTACGATTTCGACGACCTGGTCGTACTCAGCATTTTCGTCGGCCTTCAAGTTGTGTGCGAACCGTTGAGCGTAAGCAGCGATGTCACCGCGCTTAGTAGCCTGGAGATAGTCGACCATACGGTGGTTGAAGGGGAACATCGAAGTCGTCGCACCAATCTCGGCACCCATGTTACAGATCGTGGCCATACCCGTGCAAGAAAGAGATTCGACACCAGGACCGGTGTACTCGACGATAGCACCAGTACCGCCCTTGACCGTAAGGATACCAGCGACCTTGAGGATGACGTCCTTGGGAGTAGTCCAGCCGCCGATCTTGCCCGTGAGATTAACACCGATGACCTTGGGGCACTTGAGCTCCCAAGGAATGCCAGCCATAACGTCGACGGCGTCGGCACCACCGACACCGCAAGCGATCATACCGAGACCACCAGCGTTGGGAGTATGCGAGTCGGTACCGATCATAAGACCACCGGGGAAAGCGTAGTTTTCGAGGATAATTTGATGAATGATACCGGAGCCGGGTTTCCAGAAACCGAGGCCGTACTGCGAGGTAAGAAGCATGAGTATAAACGGGTCGAAAGCGATGGGAATGGGACAAATGTCGGAGGACGGAGGATGTGCTGTCGAAACACGTACCTTGGCAGTAGCGGTAGCCAAGAAGTCGTAGACCTCCTTGTTGATGTCAATCGCACGTGCCAAATCCTTCACACCGCCGATCTGGGCCTCAATCAAGTGGTCGCAGTGGACGGTGGTGGGGACGGCTGCCGTGTCCATACCAGCAGACATAAATTGAAGCAGAGCCATCTGTAATGTAATACAAACGGAGTGACGTCAGAGATGCGCTCACGAGAACGTTTGGAGAAGATGAGGTCAACGCAGATAACGCACCTGGGCAGTAGCATCCTGGCAAGCCACTCGCTGTGAACGCGTTCGTCAGCATCGACGTCAACCGGAAAATGATTGGAATAACGCACGTCTGGCCGGAGCTTGAGGTAGCTGACGCCACGGGCGATGTCCTGATTGTGAGGGTCATCAAGATGACCGTAAAGGATCTTCTCGGAAAGCGTGAGTGGCCGTTGTAACCTGTACTTACTCGCATCAGGCCTGAACTACGACGACAAAAATACGAAAAACACACCGCTCACGAATGATGACGAGGTTGTCTTCGATGCGTTGGTAGTTAATGTACGCGTTCTTCTCGAGGAGAGACATTGGGACCTTGGTATCGCCAATCCTGCCTTCCGCGACAGTGGCCATGCCCTTGGCCGCATGGTGCACGGAGCGCCATGCCTGCGACGTGCGGTGCGTAAGGGAGAGCATCGTCAAAAACGACGGCGACGACAGCTGCGACTTTGCGAGCGACGACGGCGACGAGGAGGACGACTTGTTGAGGATGGAGAAAAGGGAGGTTCGGCAACAGGCGGAGTTACGCCCTCTCCTCTTATTTGGACCCCGGAGCCCCCGTCCGACCCAATCAGAGCCGTCCCTTTTTGCGACCCCGCCCCGGCTCATCACTCCGGACCTCGGCACCGGAACAGCCCGGCTCTATCACATTGCGCTCAATTCCCAGCCAATCCCGGCCCCGCCTTCTCCCCCGCCTCCATCCTTCTCCGCCTTTACCTCCCGACGTTTCCAGTGAATGGTATTGCGAGCGAACGTAACAATTATTCTCGATATTTCTCTGCATTTTGTAGTAGTATGAATCTTTATATCCCAGCGCTTCCCACGAGCGCCGTTGCCTTTCCCAAACTTCTCATTCTCATCTTCTTCAACGCGCTCTGGAGCTCGGACATCCACGGATGCACCGTGCATTCCTTTCCTCACGCTCTGCCATCGTCGCGCACAATCACATTCATATTCTCCGAACTTACGAAGCGCTCCGTATGAAACGCAACGAAGGAAAAACTTTCTGGTCGACCTGCAGACCACCCCGCCACGTCGCCTAGTCATCAATCGCCTTCCGCGCAGTCCCGGACGCGTCTCCAGGCCGCCCGTATTGGCCTGCAGACCATCCTTTATCGTACTGACATACCCGACCTGGCCTGCAGACCACCCTTTATCGTGCCCGACCCGACCTGCAGACCTTCGATTATCATATATCTTCATCGCCGAATTACCGAGCTTGGCCTGCAGACCCATACGTGCTACGCGTCAAATCATCACTCGGACGTACGAGTCCGTTGAAGTTTTCTTGTGTGGTCTGGAGACGTGCAGTGCGTCAGCGTTGAGGGTTATTTTCGTCTTGGTTCCACCTGCAGCGTCGGTTATCTATATATGCAATGACCTGCAGACAGTTTGGTATGACTCCGTCGATTGTTTCGTCGGCGGGGTCGCCCGATGGTAGGAACGAGGAGGTGTATATATATGGACGGTTTCGTTGTACTCTAAGATGTAAGTTATAATGATATGGCCTTGCTGCACGACGATGACTTGGGTGAGGTAGACCTCCTTGAGTTGAGACGGAAGGACGGCCGGCTGGTTTTCTACAATTCCCTCGAAATTTAAACGAGACATTCAAAGCCGAGTCGTCGTGCATGCCATCTCAAAGGTTCCCCATGGCCAGTACGTATCGTCGAACTCGAGCCTCAAACAGACTCGTACGGCAGCAAAACCGTCGGCCCATTACATATCACTCAAATTCAATTCCAGACTACCGCACACGAACCATCGAACGTCCAAATCTCCTCCAACGAGCATAATCCACAGTCTACCATCGACATCTGACCCAATGCGTCGAACGTATTCAGTGAGTTGTGTCCCGAATTCCGAGCTCAATGCCCCATAGCCATCAACACCTCACTTTCTTCTTGAATCTATGCCACCCATGAAATAAGCATCAACATCCACGTCCGTCTGGTCAAAGTCCAGCAAGGTGCGAAACGAAGAGGGACAGGGAGTGAAAGGTAGAAAGACAGGAAAGGGGAGTGTAACAGATGAAAGACAGATAAACGTACCCAAGGTCTCTCCCCCTTCGCGTACTTCTTCACAGGCCGCTCGTAACAACATACATCTTCGATATCCTTCTCTGAGTACAGCGGAAGGACGATCCCGAGCTCGTAATTCGTGATCTGGGGGCATTCAAACCACACCACGTCAGTCAGAGTCGAGTGCGCAATAACAGGAAGCGAGCGAGCGAGGGGGGCGAATGGAGAGGAAACGCAAGAGAAAGAAGAGAGAAGACGTACGTTCAAAACAGGATGAAACCCACTCCCACTCAACGTCCCCCAAGCCGACGGCGTAAAATTATGCGAACCGACATACGCCCATCCTACCGCCTTTGCTTTTTTCTTCTTTCCCTTCCTATTCTTCTTCCCCTCCTTCGCCTTCGCCTTCCCCCTACCGTTCCCACCTGCACCCGTTGTCGTTGTTCCCCGTCCCCGAGCTTGGGCATTAGCTTTTCCTTTGCCTTTTCCTTTGCCGTTGTACGGTTTCGTCCGCCCTTGCGCATCCACCTCCACAATCTCGAGATCGCTATCCGATTCTTCTGCATCTTGCGGCGGTTCGGGTTCGGACTCGGATTCTGATTCGGTGACGCTGCTCTCGTCTTCGTCTTCGTCGTCTTCGGAGGAGGAGGAATTTGAGGAGGAGGAATTTGAAGAGGAAGGGGCGCCAGAGTGATGTATGCTGCCTCTCGGGAGGGGTTCGAAGGTTCCTAGTGCCATCTATGATGATAGTACGTTCGTGAGTGTGAGTGTGTCAGTCAGCCCTCGAGACACTTCATGTCGAAGAACACGAGATGGCGGAGTAAATGAGACGGGAAGAAGGAAAGGAAGAGGAGAGGGGAGGAGAGAAGGGACGCACTTTGCTATGCATGAGCACTTTTCCCCTCTTGCTCTTCGACTGCCCGAATAGCTCCCTCGGGAATTTTGGGGCGTCCCATTGATCCTTACGACAAAACATCGTCCCGCCGCCCTACAGTCCCACAACCACAACCGCAACCACAACCACACCAACCCAGACCCATCCAAACGCGTCGAAACCAAACCCGAAGCCATAAATACTATCAGCAAACCTTGCACAACGGCACGGATACTGTAAGTGTGAAGGAAACTCACAGCCTCCCCAAGCACACTCCCTTTAACCCATTCCCTCGTCGGAAACAATATCGTCATCGAATCCGGGTACGGCAATTTCGACTTCGATGCCTTCGTCTTGTCGAGGTATTTCTCTGGACTCGTCCCGCTCGCGCAGATGTAGAATTCGTTGATCCATTGGGTGGAGTATGTTCCTATCGACGAACCCTATACCAACAAACATCCGCCATATCCGTAAAACCAAAATAAATGCAACGACATTCACATCGATCATAAGCAACTCAAATACAGGGACGAAGAAGAGAGAGAGGCGAAAGTGGAGAGGTACGAAAACACACCTGATACTCGACCCTCAACTTCCCCCTCTTCCCACCTCCACTCCCGCTCCCGACCTCACACCCAATCTCCCTCACAGCCTTCATCAGCGCCGTCTCCCCGACCCTCAGAACTTGTGGCCAATGCTCGTGCTTACCCGCGAGGCTGGGTACGAGGTGTGCTTTGACGCGGGAGAAGTCGTAGGCTGTGCGAAGGGAGCCGGGGTGCAGGGAGGAGAGGGGGATTGTTGGGTGCTATACGTCGAAAAGGCCAGGCGTAAAGAGGGAGTGGCGAGGTCAGCTCCGGTTCGGGATGAAATGGTGTGGGAATAAGAGGGTACGTACGTCGTTGTGCACGAGACTGGTCAACGCGGGCTCAACGTTCAAGGCTTTGAGCACCCGTTCAAAGGCGGTGGGGAAGTCATCTGCTTTAGGGTCATGTGGGATAGGTTTCGAGCGTTGAGGGACGTCTTGGATCCAGACGGTCTGTACGATCAAAGTAAGTTAAAGAGCGGTTTGTAGAGAAGGTGAGGACGTACGTTTTCAATGTCTTTCCAGTCGAAGTCGACGAGGTTGGCAGTCGATATGGCAATGCGGAGACGGCCAGATTTGTAGAATATCTACATTCAGAGAACGTTCAATCCATAAGTAAAAGCCATACCATCTTGCCGAATTATTGTCATTTTCTTACCAGGAAGAACTGGAATATAAACATGCAGGAAATAAGTTAACGAACACCACCGTCTATCTAATGAAATGTACCCACCTTCATATGCATAACCCCATACCCACTCCTCAAAAACGGCGTCACCCTGATCCAATTCGGCAATATCTCCTTGATCGTCTTTTGCCCCTTCTCTGCTTCAGTGGGTTGTGCCACCATCACGACGGGAGTGCTTGGGTCGAAGAATTCGTAGATCCATGAGAGTTGGAGTGCGTATGATGAGATGATGGCGAACGCGACCTGGGATTTCTGTGGACGATATAAAGCAGGAATAGGCATCAGCGATCTCATTCGACAAAATTAGAGACAAAGCAGTTTACGTCGCCAATGATACTCGTCAACCCAAACACAGGCTTTCCATCCTCTCCATTCTTCCCCTGATCAACATGTTTATTCCTCGTCTGCCTGACTTCGCCATCCCAGAACACCTCCTCTTCCTGCGTTACAGTTCCCTTCGGCGCATTTCTACCTCTTGAAGAAGAGGAAGCGTTGGACTGAGTAGCCCCTCCCCTGACCTCCCTCGTCTCCGGAGTTTTCCTCTTCTTCGGCGGTTCTGGCTTCCCACCGCCACCGCCACCCATCCCATCGTCCACAGAGTCGCCTCTCAATCTTTTCAGCCTCGCCAACCTCTCCTTCTCCATCTGCGCTCTCTCAGACAAGAATGGTGTCGGTGTCGATGTCCCCGATGTTTGATCTGGAGTTTCTGATTCTCGTGCGGGAGGTTGATCAGTCGACGTGGAAGATGATGAACCTCGGGGTTCAGGTTGTGGTTGCGCTCGTGGTAGAGGGCGAGAGGATTCGGCTTTGGAGGCCTCCATGGCTAATCGGAGTTGTTCCTGGAATTGAGCTTCTTCGTCATCGTCGTCTCCGTGGACTGGACCAGGGAAAGGTGCGATGGGTGCTGGTCCGGGGGCGATTGTGGCGGACTCTTGGAGGCTTAGGGCGATGGCCCTGATGGTACCAAAGGACAATACGTTTGTAATGTGAGTATGCGGGGGAAGAATCATATGATGAAGAAATACCTCGCAATGTCTTCGTCTGACATCGTACGATATGTCGTGTTTTAGGGATAAGGCAAAGGCTCGTACGGTCGAACAGAGAAGAAGAGAACGCCACAACAGATGTGATGTTGGTGTGAGTGGTGTCGACGAGATACAAACACGTTCGAGATGTCTCTGAGTTCGAGAAAAAAAACCCTCTGTAATAGACTCAGAAGTACTACTGCAAGCTAGGTCACGAACAGATGCTGGTTGAAGGTGAAATGAACTGTCGTCGCGTCGGAGTCGCGTCCTGTCACGCGTCGCGTCGTAAGCACATTTCGGCAATAGCCGGCCTCACGTTCGGAACGTGACAACGAAGTTGAACGAGGACTTAGACCTTCCCTGGGGCCGACGACCATCATCGTACCAACTTATCGCATTGACAGGATAGAGCTATTGAGGTAAGTTAGTACTGTCGCTTCTTTTTTGGTCAGTTGGCCGACATTTTTATGGTTTAGGGCTCCTCTCTGTTTCTAAATCCCTCAAATCCTCGATGCAGGCACTCTCTGGCCAAACCAACGCGGACGACGATGTCTCAGCGCTGTCCCAGCTGTCTTCTGCCGATGGTATAGATGCTGAGATTAATGCTCTCACCACTCAGATTCAAGCGCTGTCCAGTCGACTCACATCCCTACGCGCTGTGCGAAACGATCGTGCTCTGATCTCGAGGCTTCCGTACGAAACGATGACAGCGATATTTCGCGCCATCGACGATCGTCCCCGTATTATCCACAATCAGGGAAGGGCCGTCGGTAGACCTTGGTTGGGATGGATATACGTGAGCCATGTCTGTCGAATGTGGAGAGATATCGCAGTGCGCCACTCCTTGTTGTGGTCGGACATCTCCTTTGTTCTTGGACCAGAGTGGACCAAAGTAATGTTCGAGCGCTCGCAAACTGCTCCTGTCAATATCGACTACTCAATCGTATTCCTTCATCCTATATTACTCGACAAAGCTACACTAAATGCTCACATGCATCACGTGCGCCAGCTTTCTCTGGTCGTACCACTCCACCCCGCGGGCGTCTCCCATGTACGAGACCTTTTGCTGGTGGTATCCTCCGCCGCGCACTGTTTAGAGACTCTAAGTCTGAAGATGAGACCAATAGACATTCCCCCAGCGGACTTTGCTACTCCTTCCGGGATACCTATTTGGTCGGCGGGGAGCTTCCCTCGATTGCGCCAACTGGAGCTTCACGATTTCCTCATTCACTGGGGATACGAATCGGCGTTCCCCTTTCGATCCCTGCTTACCTTGAAGCTCGGGGTATCTCTTCACCGCGGTGCCAATCTGCACTCGGCATATCTACCCACCTTGCCCACCTTGCTCACGGTCCTTGACCAAATGTCGGAACTTCGAGTGCTTCATCTCAACCACATCCTTCCCTCGATACCACTCCAGAACATTCATCTATCACCTCCCCCTCAAATCGTATCCCTTCCCCACCTGATCGAGCTATATATTTCCGGAAAAGCGCACGAGTGCGCCGATGTTCGTCGCTGCCTAGAGGTCCCCATCAGTACAATGATCCAATCCTTCAATGTCACCTCTCAATATGACACTAGAGAGGACCTTCTCATGATGTCGCCCTTCGTCCACTCTTTTGTGAGTGCCTCCATCGAATCTTGCACGAGACTCGCCCTCGAAGACTTAGGCCAAAACATCACGTTTATGATCCACATGCCCTCCGTCCCACCTGTACCCCCTCAACTTGAGTTTCGATGTAGTTTCACTAATGGAAGACATTCTACCGAAGACAATATTGTCCCATCGCTTCTCGGGCACTGTTCATTTGACCATTTGACGACACTCTCCATTCGCAGTCATATGCAGACGGTCCTTCACTGGACAAGGGTCTTTAACGAGTTCAAGGCCATCAAAGATCTGACAATTGCCACCGCTCCTTCGTCCATCAACAGTGTGCTGTCACCGCCCACCATCAACAATTTCTTCGACGCCCTAGCCATTGGCACTGCTACCCGTGCCTCCGAGGCTGATTCTGCCATGATGGAGGCCGAACCCCATCAGCGCGATTCCCATCTACTTTTCCCAGCACTTATAGTCGTGAGAGTCTTCGGCATCGACCTCACACATACGGAGTCGGACGATTCCCTGAGGCGGGGACTGCTTGCAGCCCTCGAGTGTCGACAACAATCCGCGTCTCCGATTCAGAGCATGCAGTTCAGGTTTTGCACGCTCTCGTCCGGGCTACTACAAAGTCTTCGCGAGATTGTACCGGACGTTGTTGTACATCCTGAGAATCGATCCTGATACGATGTAAGGATTGTACGTATATTTATCTGATTATTCCTTTGTGTCCTGTCGTTCTCATTGGCGGTTCGCTTGCAGGGCTTGACGTCGTGCATGGGTCGTTCGAAGATACGGGTTCAGCTCCATCTGCATGCTTCATACTGCGTATATAGCCTCTACTCTCTGGTCAGATTTTTGTCCAGTTTATGCCATAGTATCTCCTGTACTTGTTATTCTTCTTTGGTGGACCATTCTTGCTTGTACATTTCAATCGAATCAAACATTCAAACCCTTTGCAAAACTCGAAAGCCATACCAGGGACTCGCGCACAACCTTTTTTCCCTGTCCACAGAAACATCTCTGCAGATCACAGAGGTACTTTGCCTAACTTGGAATTCGTGAGCGTCCCCTGGCTTCGCTCGTATAAGTCACTGTAAACTTGCTGCTGACTGTTATAGGTATTTTGTCATGTTTAGTCGACCTCGCCGCCCACAATCTTACGACCGCTACGTTTCTGGCTTAGTACGCAGTCATTTCTTTTACTACTGTTTTCCCCCAAGTGTGTTTTCACTCGTCTGTGGACTTCTCTGCCACCAACGCTCAAAGTAGGTGTTCGTGTCCGTCAAACCAGCCTGTCTTGAAATAGTCTTCCAGCTCTCACTGGCTCAACAGAGGTAAACTCTCACATCTGGTAAGTCCTCCGTTTTAGGTATCATGCTTGTCCCCGTCATGATGATTTACACTGATCGAGATCCAACACTAGTCTCAACACAGCTCGGGGTTTTGTTTCTTGCTTTGAGACACCGATGCTCCTTTGGTGCTCATTCACAGTCAGGGTGTCCCATATCCGAGAACGTACTCTGCCCAGCCTGGATTCTTGGCAGCTTTTGTCTTGTCTTGCATGATCCACGTTCATCATGGTTTCAATCCTCTCGATTAACATCGGGATTTTGCCTTTCGCGCAAAGGCGTCTAATCGACGCCACACAACCTTGAACGTTCCCCACAGAGTTGAAAGATAAGACCTCGCTTGTGACGTTGAGCTAGGCGCCGTGAGTGAGAGGCGGGGCAAAATTCCCTTGTATGAAATATTGGTGAGTGATTAGAAGCGCCTTTGCCCGATGAACCGATAGCCTTCCGTTCCTTAGATGCTTTAGAACTGACACTGGGATCGCTGAATGGCCTGATTTATACGCGCCGTGATCCACGTTGTTTCACGGGTGCGGTTGACGAGAATGTTGGTCTATATTCATCTCATGCGGAGAGTCGCTCGACCCATCTAGCTTTGGCATTTACAATGGATTGTGGTATCTATGAATTTGGTGAGCGCTGGCTAGGCTGCTCTAAATGTGACAAAGAGCTGTCTCCCAACCACACTGTATTGTCTCAGTGAGGGCAGCCCAGTCACTTGCGTTGCTCTCTTCCTCATACCTAACCATAGACCATGCATCATGCAGCTTTCACCGACTAATCAAAGAGCTCTGACAAAAATTTCACATCGTCAGACGCAATGCCTAACGCCACAAGCCCTTCGGCCTCGCACATAAGCTCATCTTCTCCGCGTTTTGTCAGCGTACGAGAGAAAAAGCAGGGACGTACGATGTCGTTGTTCCCGATACAGATGGCTTATCTCGATCGATCCCGATATCAGTAACAAAGCTTCCTCTCATGCATTCTCAGACTTCAGGTCATGGGCCTTGTGTACAGAATGGGCTCTTCATGAAGGCACCAGGTTCTGGTCCGCACTCATCGTGAGTGTAAATTTAAACTATGTTTGTCCAATGCTCGCCTCTGTATTAATGGAGTGTGTCTTCTCGCTTGTTCAGACCAGACTGATGTAGATACCGCGTCGACAGATACTCTCAACGTTATTCATCGAGTCAATTGATCGGTCTTTCCTCGCGTCCTTACAACTATCGTAGCATCGTGAACTACGCGCCGTACCTTTGCGTCCACAGTCATACCGCATTCTTTGGACAACACGTTCGTTCACACCATTGTGTGAGGAGTACGTGATTCCTACTTTGTCGAGTCGTTTCACTCAGCTGATTTATTCTCGGGATGGTCGGCATTCAGAGTAATACCAGGTGAGTTCGCTCGATGCTATCCTTGTGCCGATGAATGATCCCCATACTCAATTGACCTATTCGTTCCGACAGACGCGACTTGAAAACCGACCGAGTTGGGAGACCATACATTGGCAGCTGGAAGACTATTCATGGACGCTCTTGACGCTAAGAATACGCCACATTTTCCACCTGATGCGGCATTTTGAATCTCTGCACTCTAACCCTTTGATCTACGTCGCGACACTGTCGAGGAAGAGGGGCTCAAACGACTGTGGCGCACACTACATGCGCCAGAGTCGGATGCCTACGGAAGCCACAAGCGCTGACTTCACCCCACAGGCACTAGTGACGGCGGTGCACACACACAATGCCGAACGGTTCCCAGAAAACATGGGGCTAGCGAATGCTGTCGCTCGAAGGCGTTAAGATACACAGGTTCGTCATAAGGTAAGCTGTGGACGTTACCATTTCCCGATCCTTATCGCGATCCGAGGATTTTCGATCCCCAATGATCCCGATATTGACTCAGTATCCTCCCATCACGATCCGCAATGCGCGCTCGGGCTCCAGTCATACAGAGGCAGCGTCCTTGGCAGTGACCTCTCCCTGCTACTTTTAGACCTCCGCATCCGTCCAAAGTTCGTCTTTTTCCACATACAGTCAAATCTTCACTGGTTATACCCATTTACGAGCACTCTTTCTAAGGACGGTCTCATGCAAGGCCTCGAGTCCCGAGACGTGAACCTTCTCCTCAATCCTCGTCATGACGGAACCCACGTTCATTATGCTGAACCCTATCCTCAGCTAGCATCGGCACTTCCTCGTCCCCAAGTGGGGCCCAAGAACACACGAAGCATAGTATAGCGCTAGAGTATCCTACCGAAGTGATACATAACGTAAACGATAAACGTAGGCAAGTTCGCCCGTTGACCCGATATTGACTTCCGCCGAGAGGTCTCCGTCGACGATTTGTGTGGGAGTTATCCTTTGCAGGTCGTTCGTTCTCAGCTACAGACTGGTATCCGTCATTCGCGATGGCGGGATAGGAAAAGAATCCGTTTCGAGCTCCTTCTTCATTTTGACTAGAAGCCGGAACTCGAAGATGTTCTGGCCGTGCATTCACTGCAGTATACGGTTCTTGGTGTTTCGGGGGCTTCCGCTGTGAATCTCAGGCAACGAGCGGGATATAGTTTGTGTTTATTTATTTATTAACGAGCATTCTGTGGCCGGTATTTTCCCAAAACTGCTGACAGGGAAGCTAATTTTAGAGCACGATGGTAATTGACATAACTTGCCAAGCATACAGCCCAAGTTTTGCCCAAGTTCTAGGCCTAAGGTATGTTCAGGATCGACTCTGCCTTTCTGTATCTCTGAATTGGAACATGCAGCTCTGTGTCTTATCGCGATCCAGTCGCACAAGATCAGCTGGCAGTTTCCCTCCCTTGCTTCCACAAGTTTGCCTTGAAAGTCGTCTTCCATCCTCTACTCTGAAGCCAGTGGGACTACTTACGGTATGTCAGAGTGCTTCTTTATATTTCTGTACAGCTTGATGCGTGGATCGAGATCGGAATTTTTCCCCATTTGCAACGGACGAGGAACGTCCGGGATTCTCTCACAAGCATCGCATAGGTCAATGCGGAGGTTCGATTTTCATTATACGCTAAAATGAACGGTATGTGCCATACATGCTTTGATAATTCTAGCCTCGACACTCGCAAGGTAGCTATTCCTCGCTTGGCAGGACAACAATCCCCCGATGCGCACTTTCCTCTATCATGCTGTTCACCTCTCGTGGATCCCGTATCGTCCCCATCGCTTTTCACGCGTGAACGCATGGGCCCAATACAGGCTTACCATCACGTCGAGATCTTTCTCCCGTCTCATTGACTCACGATTGACTCGTTCTAATAGTTCGGAGACTCAGTTCGGAAGCTCCATTCGTCCAATTCGATTACTTTCGAGGCAGGCTCTGATTCGTCCAGTTCGTTGTTCCTCAGCTGTTATTAAATACTACCTCGTCGAATCCTCCGTGCAAGTCAGTGCTCTAAGACTCAGTCCCCGGTCCAGCATCCTGCACGAGGCTGTCTTCGCCCGATATCATCGTGAGCAAAGCATTATAATTACCCAGAAATTCCACTCTCCCCCGCTGGCCATGAGCGAAGTGCGATCATGATCCCGATTCAATTTTTGTCACGTCGCTGTTGCCCTCAATCACGTAAGTCGTGTTCGCCCGATACAAAGTTTTGTCTCATCACGACTTACGATATTCGAAGGCAAGGGGCGCTTGTGGCGCTTGGCGAGCGGCTAGTGACAGCTACAAACGCCCTGCTGTGGAGGCCAAAGCTTCGCAACTATGGCTGTCTTGAGAGTATTTTATTTCAGAGAAGGTGAGGCAAAGTCTCCTTGATGCTAGCGATGATCAGTGAGTTCATTTGTTTGTTCACAATTCTAGCTTAAATTGCTAGTGAGAGGCTATGGTACTTTCTTGGAGGTCTGGTGAATGTCCGACTCCATACTTTTCAGGTCTCGGCTTTCCCTTCGTATTTCAAAATTCAAGGCCTGGAATGTCAGATCTCGATATTTCTTCGCATTCCTTGCACTTTCGCCGCTGGAAAGTTAGACTTTTGAATAAAGCGCTGCGTGAGTTGGCGTGGATTTCATCGGGATCAGCATATCGGCGCTGCGTACCGTACAAATGCCGGACCCATAAGGCGCATGCAGACGCAAAGAAGGCGGAACATTTGCACAGGTATGGTCTCATTCAATTGACGGAACCATATCTTGCGAGGTTCTGTTGCGTCGCGTATACTGGGGAAGAACGAGCGGTCCCCCGATGGCCCGATAGTTATCTCGATAATCCTCCCGATTCTAAGTTTGTGCTTCTCAATTTTGTCAGTGACGTGTTCCACATGGTGGGCGCAGAGTTGGGTCTATTTTTTGTCAGGGAGGAATG